ACCAGTCAGCACACTCGCGTTGATTGGGTGAAGCAGCAGGTAAAGTCAAGACACCATACCAACCTGACAACATCATGCATATACTTGCCAGCCCAGCCAACACTGTTCCGTTACACGCACGCTCAACTTCCCTTTATTTTTCTGCTCATGTTTCCCTTGTTTTGTTGGTTTTCGCCCATTTCACCCATACTGGCTGGAGCAGACACTGACTGTCATGGTGACAGCAGTAGTCTTCCTTTCCTGCTGGATAACACGATGGATAATGAGCGTCGGCTGAAGATCTTCCCGTGACAGTTTGTTGACACCATGATTGTCACGAGACGGTGGGAAAGAAGAGATGCCAGCAGCACAATACTAAATCATGAGCATTATTACAGTAAGCGTACATTCCCCAAGCCTGAAAAGTGGACGCCAGCTGTGCAGTAGTAAGTGTGTGCATAGTTATTCCCCAAGCGTATGATCTGCTGAAGATGAGCATGGCCGTGGTTGATACCAGGGGTACTGTACTGCTCCCTGGCTGGTGCAGCCTGAGACGAAGAGACCACACTCTCTCCCTTTCTGATGCGGACCCTCGGTTACTTTGTTTTCTGTTCGACCCCAGTCACCCTCTTTGAGGTTGTACAAATGTACTGCATGCAGAGGTAAGACACTAAAACTGTAAAATAATATTAATAAATAAACAAAGACAAAACAAGCATTGTATTGTATTTTTTTTTTTTTTATAAGTGCAAGCCTCTTTTACGGGCAAAAATTAACACAATGTATTAAAATGCAATACAACATACACCATTGTACACTGGAGAAGAAATCAGGAAAATAAAATATGAGCTCAAAAATGGAACGAAAAATAGCAAATAGAATCAAAACTCACGATGGAATCAAACTCACGATGGAATCAAACTCATGATGGAAACTACAACCCAATGAGTTGGAAAACCAACCACAGAATTAGATATTGGGAATAGAGTCAGACTCAACAACAACCGAAATCAGTACACCAAAAATCTGTCCTACAAAAAACAAAGGAACAAGAAAAACAAGAAAGACGAAGTACAAAGAATCCCCAAAAAAGAGGAAATAGCGGGATGAAAGAGGACCGGAGAGCGGCAAACCCCAGGAGGACTTAGCGTCACGTAGTGGCGGGAATGCGGGCCTCCACTGAAACAGCATCCACATCCGCCGCCAGACCAGGTGCACGGAATGCACGGCGACTCCCACGAACCATCAGGACGGAGTCGCGGACAAGGCTGAAAGCCAGGTCCGTCCGCAGCTTTCCCATCACGAGGGGATAAGGCTGCGAGAGCTTGGTGGAGAGCTTTGTTCCGAGCAGCTTCAGGAACCGGGTGGCCTCCTTCGCCAGGGCACCAGCAGAAGACAGAACGATCGGGGTGAACGACGCGTGCTCAACTTCCCGGATCCGGGCACCGTATGCCGACTGCTTCTGACGCTCGTGCCATTGGAACACCTCAGCCAGCGGGCGAGATCGGTACGACTGTGCGTTGGGATAGAACACCCTTACATCAAAAAATGCATCAGTCTGTACCGACCAAAACCCCCTGGCCTTGATGTCCGGTCTGGCGTCGTCCGCAGTGAGCAGGGCAGGACCATGGTCAAACGTGCGGACCGTCGGTAGAGGTTGCAGCGGTGGCTCCAGCTGCACATCCTCAGACACTTGAGAAAGAAGTTGGCCCAGGTAGTTGCGGACATGGTTGTGCCGGTGGATGGGATAGCCGCCCAACTTGCAGATCATTGCGTGGTCGATGGTGAACGGCCGGCCGCATGGACACTCGGTAGGTGAACCGTGGATGGTGAGGCCATACCGAATGCATAGGGCATCAACGAAGGACCGCCGGTCGAGGGAGTATCCATGCTCGCGAACAGGAAGACAGGTCAGCCATGCACCTGTTCCCTTGGCCTGGAGGTGCTCCAGAAGCATTGGTGGTAGGGCCTCTGGGCCAGCTGTCTGCAGGACGGTCTTGGTTGTCACAGACTGGGCTTGCTTGGCAGCAGCCTTGGCGGCGCAAATGGCTGCTGGGTCTACGCTGTAGAGGGAGGACTGGTCCGCGATAAGTTGCTGGAGACTGCTCGTGATGGACAGAGATGCTGTCCGCTGTTGCGGGGCAGCCTCAACTGGATTGAGCACTGCAAGGCCACCATGACGCACAGGCAGAGCAAGAAGGCTGCGTAGAGGGGCAGGGACGACTGGCACACCCAATAGAGCTGGCAACAAGACGGAGCGAAGAGAGGACTCGAGAGGCTCGAAGACGTCTGGTGCACAGCTCGACACGCGCATCAGGAATGTCCAGCGGTGACGGTACCCAAAGACCAGTGCGGCATACACGGCTTGGGGCTCGGCCTCGGCCACGTTCGCCAGCTCACGCATCTCAGATGCCCAAGCCTCCACTCGAGCATTGCAAAATGTTGTCTTGAAGGCTTCCGAGCCCAGAGGAGCACCCAGGTAGGGGCGGCCCTCAGTGGTGATGTGGACATCGGTGTCGGCGAATGCAGCGTTGGCAGCATCGAGATGCTCGGGCTTGACAACCAGCCAAGTCTTGGCAGCGTTTGGATAGTAGCCGAATGCTGGGCCAAGTTGACAGATCTGGTCCCACCAGGTGCGAAGGCGCCGCAGCAGGCCAGCGGCTCCCGCGTCATCGGCATACCATAGCTGGATGGTCGAGGCGTCCGGTCGAGCAGCGGACGCACCGACGCCGGCTGGTCTCTCAGGCGATTCGCGGTCATGCACCGTGCCAGCTGGAGAGTCGTCCATAAGGGCGGTGGCGAGGGTAGTGACGAGTGGCGTAATGGCAATAGCGTAGAGGGGCATGGCTAGTGGGCAGCCTTGCGTGGTGCCTTCAGCAGACCAGATGACCGTACCGCTGACGTGGAGAGGTACTGTGCTGCGGTAAAAGTTTTTCGAAATTGTTGCTATTGATGGACATAGTAGGTGGATGTTGTGGAGCATAGCTGCACGGTTCAGGGAGTTGAACGCGTTGGTAGCATCGACCAGGAGTGCTCCCTCTGTGTTGCTGCTGTCAAAGTATTGTATTGTATTGTATTGTATTTTATTATTTTACTTGGGCATTCCCAACAGACCCTAAGGTCTTCCTTACAGGGTGCCCAAGATGAATGAAATTGTTAAGTTCCTGGCGAAATGAATTGGGGATATGACTTGTGCGAAGGGATTCGGGAAGCGCATTAAAGCGGTCAGCACCAAGGAATGAAATAGATCTGTATCCAGCTTGAGCTTGCACAATGGGTAAGGAAAGGGAATAATTGACTTGGCCGCGAGTTACTCTATCTGTGTGAGCGCAGTCACGGCGAAGGGAGAACATGTCAGAGAGGGGTGAACTGCAGATATTGTGGATGCAACGGAACACGAAGAATATGGACTTTAATAGTATGATATATTTTGTCTAAGCTAATTATGTGGTACCGCTCAAGCAAGTATGATGTCCGCGTGAATGTGTCATGCTCAAATATGCATCTAAGCAAGAGTACATGAAAACCGGGGGGGGGGGGGTTCATGTACTCTTGATCTAAGTGCTCCCTTACTTATGCGTAGCAGCTGATCTCTCACGGTGTCAGTGAGGCAGTGGACGTAGGCAGTGCTGGCGTACTCGAGCTTGCTCTGGACTACTGACAAGTAGAACTGCCTTCTGGCCTGGACAGCAAGGCTCCTCCTTCCACATCGAAAAGCACCTAGTTTCTTTCCGATGTCTTCCCTGAGGGAGACGGGCAATAACAGTCGAACTACAGACAATGCTCAGGTCAAGTGGAGGATGTGAGCGTCTGCTGTGGATCAGTAGTACACTGTACCTGGCTCTTGCTGGAGTTCAGGAGCAGGCCGCGATCTGTGAGGTGCTGCTTCGCCACTAGTGCACTGAAAAATCTTCTTCTAAGTAAGACATGAGAATTCTTGGACACTTTCCAGAGGCATACAGGGTGGTGTCGTCTGCATAAAGAAGGCATTGGAATGGGAACGCAATGGCAGAGTGGGGACAAGTCGAGTGTACATGCTGAAGAGGGTAGGGCCTAGGACGGAACCCTGGGGAACGCCCCTAGTGCAGGTTCTACAAGCACTTGTGGTTCCGTTCACTTCTACGCGTTGCTGTCGGTTAGACAGATACGACTTGAACCACTCAAGAGCATTTCCACGGATCTTGAGATTGTGAAGGTCACCTATTAGCGTTTGGTGGTGGACGCGGTCAAAGGCTTTGCTCATATCGAGCAGCAGTACGGCCGTATAGTCTCCGGTATCCATGCTTCTCTGCCAGTTATTGATGACAAGCGTTAAAAGGTCCTCAGTACTGCGGTTCCGCCTGTATGCAAACTGTTCATTTGGAATTGCTCCGGGTGTGATGTCGAGATGGTCGTGAAAGACCTGCTGGAGCATACTAGCGATACCAAGACTTTGGAGATAATGGGCAAGCATGCGCACCGTGACGACGCCATGATTGCATGCATGCCTCGACGTCGACCATGATGACAGTGATGATGTACGGACCGCGCGCGCCGCGTACATAGACCCCTACTTGGCCCTAGGCCCTGCGAGTCGATGCATCATCACCATGATCATGACGATCATTATTACAATCATGTCCAGGACTCCCTTCACGGCTTCAGTTCAGTTCACTTCGCGAGGTGGCGCGCGTTGTATTATTACAGTCTTGTAGTTGTTGTTGTTGACTTTTATTTTACGTCTTCGGCTGTGTTTGTTATGCACTCATCGGATTCGTACAGCACATGGAAGCGCTGCCGGCACCGAAGCACGAAGCACGTGCTTCGGTGAAATGCCGGGTGCGGACTGTCGACATGTCGTCGACCATGATCAGGTGATTGCTGTCAATCGGAATCACACTCTTCGAGACTGACAGACTGACGCGTCGACATCCCAGGAATGACAGTCGAATACTAGTACAGTCATGTAAGTGTATGCTGGGCAAGATCGAAGCAACACGGCAAGAGTTGGTGGAAGTGCGAGCTAGCTATAAATATGGGGACCGTGCAGCCTCCACTGTCAGTCCACTCCAAGCCCTTCACCGACTGCGGCCCCAGTCTACCGACCCGTGGTCAACACAGACTGCAGCTTTAGCCGGGAAGAAAACGGACTAGCAAAGTAACGACTCGCGGACTGTCGCCTCTTCGCTAGTGGCAACTACAACGACTCTTTTCTTGTCCGGCGTTTTCCCATCAGTGTCACAGCGGCTGTACTAGAAGATCAAGGTGATCAAAGCTCAACCAGACAGTGCAGACAACTCTGTAAGCTGCTTAGCATGTCATTATTGAATTGATCGGTGACGGGAACCCTAAACCTACGATTGTTTCTATTTTGCTACCCGTTTTCCCAGTTCGGCAGCAGCAAGCATGGTTTTGCCAGTGGCATTTGTGGCCCTGTCGCTACTCCTTCGCCTTGGCGTTGGGCATGCTAAGACGGAGTGCCTACTGACTCCGAACGTAGGCGGTCGGCAGCCAGCGGAGGCATCAAAGTCGGACCCACTGCTGCGCTTCGACGCAAATAAAGTGCCAGTTCTCTGCGGTTCGACAGACGGTAAGCTGCGATCATAATCTGCGCACATCACAAGTATTATTATTATTATTATCGAACGGTCTCTGCTTGGATGACGACTACACCATAGCTCAGCGGTTAGAGCATCGCTGGCTACAAGCGAGGGTCCCTGGTTCGAGTCCTGGTGGTGACAGTCAATTTTTTCTTCAGACTTTTCCCGTTTGTCTCTTTCCCTCAAAACCAGTCAGTATTTTATGACTTGGGGCTCCCCGCGTGCTAGTTTGTACGTGAAGTGTGTGGGTTACAGTGAGGGCTGCGTCCCACCCGCCTGTGTGGATTCACAGGAAGTGTGAGTTACGAAGTCTGAAGAAAACGTTGAACGGTCTCTGCTTGGATGACGACTACACCATAGCTCAGCGGTTAGAGCATCGCTGGCTACAAGCGAGGGTCCCTGGTTCGAGTCCTGGTGGTGACAGTCAATTTTTCTTCAGACTTTTCCCGTTTGTCTCTTTCCCTCAAAACCAGTCAGTATTATTATTATTTTTTTTTTAAAAGAGGTCGGAGGCGGATAATACTTTAAAACGAAGGTAAGTTATGGGTCGCAAATATCCACGCAAACACACATCCAGTCATAATAAGGCACTTGTCATAAGTATCCGAACGTTTTCGGTCCCTTCTCATCAAGGATTATACAGGGAATGGCTCAAGCTGGAAAGACTAAAACTTATATAGCGTAAAGATAATTAGATAACAACACTCGTGACAATGTGGAAAATTATCAAGTTTAGCACGACACAAAACTCGAAGGAAAATAATAATAGTGACAACAACATAGTGAGCAAATTAAGTTACATTGTTACCACCTCGACGAGGAGTAACACCAAACAATTGTAGCGACAACACATTTTCTTTCTGTACGCAAAGTTCAGGATCTAATTTACGGATATATACAAAGCTTCTAACACAGCCAAATGTAACGCACATCTACCACGTGACAATATTGAGAAAACATTATCACTGTACAACTCACGACAATTGGTACGGGCTGACAGATGTTGCTTGATTGACGAAGTGCGATTCGAGAAGCCAAGTGAAAATACGGACTGATGAGGACGAACGTACAACGACAACGGAAGTGACAACAACAGTTAATATTCGAAAACGTGGTAGACCACGAAAACTAACCTCAATATCGGACACCGGACAAGTTGGAGTAAGAAGCTCAATAGAAATCCGCAATGGAGGAGACGTAACGGAAAGGACACCGGGTATCGCGCACCCAACGGTTAGTGTCAAGAAACGTGGAAGGCCGCGGAAACGCGAAGAGACAGATAGTGGTGATGCCACGAAGAGGCGAGATGACGGGACATTGGAGGAGACAACACCCAATGGAGCTAAGAATCGCACTTCGTCAATCAAGCAACATCTGTCAGCCCGTACCAATTGTCGTGAGTTGTACAGTGATAATGTTTTCTCAATATTGTCACGTGGTAGATGTGCGTTACATTTGGCTGTGTTAGAAGCTTTGTATATCCGTAAATTAGATCCTGAACTTTGCGTACAGAAAGAAAATGTGTTGTCGCTACAATTGTTTGGTGTTACTCCTCGTCGAGGTGGTAACAATGTAACTTAATTTGCTCACTATGTTGTTGTCACTATTATTATTTTCCTTCGAGTTTTGTGTCGTGCTAAACTTGATAATTTTCCACATTGTCACGAGTGTTGTTATCTAATTATCTTTACGCTATATAAGTTTTAGTCTTTCCAGCTTGAGCCATTCCCTGTATAATCCTTGATGAGAAGGGACCGAAAACGTTCGGATACTTATGACAAGTGCATTATTATTATTATTATTATTCTTTTATTCCATTTTTTTAAGTAGTACATGTACGTCATTTTTTCAGTGCATTGTAAACAAAAACGCCATGGTTTGTAGATCTACTACCAAGAGTTCATAAACAAGAGTATGCAACTGCGATCTCTTTTCTATGGGCCAGGTGCGCGGCGCACTGCCTTTATTACATCCGATTCAGCTGCAGTCCGCGCACTGCGGAAAAACAAACACCGCACTTTCCCTCTGGCTTGAAATGAACTTTCGTACGGAACTGGAGTTCACACGCCAAAATTTAGAGATTCCGTAGGCACTGGAACGATTCGAGCAAAAACGAATGGACTCGTACGAGAAATTTTGGGTTTGAGCGCATGCTTTCAGAGCGTGATGAAGGCAGCGTGCCGCGCACTGACCCATAACCACAGTTGCATACTCTTGTTTATGCACTCTTGATACTACCCGATATCAAGTGACTCAGACAATCACTGTCGTAAAATCGCTACACTACAGTCATGATGAACAGGCCATGGCCGGACCAACGTTTTGGCCACCAAACGTGTGTTTACCGCTCAGGAGGCCTTGTGTATACCCTCCTCCATGTCATACACAAAGTTTGAAAGGCTAGGGTACTAGTGACCGTATGGCCAATCAAGAACTGCTTCCGTCGTTCCTGAGTATTGCGTTTTAAGGCGAGATAATATCCCCATTGGGCATGACAAGTAATACTAATAGTCTGCAGCAGGGAGTAGTAAAATACCGGCATCTTACTACTCCCTGGTCTGCAGGGTCGTAGCACCCGATCCGGCCGCTCTGGCCATGGCCAGACCATATTTTGAGAACGTCGATCCACACAACTCATGCAAACTACGGGGTTTTCCATCAATAGTACTCATTCAATCCCGTCAATGTATCCCACTTGGCCGGACCACCTGAAATCTTGGTGCTATATGGCCCTCGCCTGGGCTCTACAACAACGAAGAACAAAGAAACACTTAATCCGTTAAAGTAAAAGAGGAAAAAAAAAAGAAGAAAAAGACTCGGAGGCTGTTCTGAGTCTTCTGACACCTCCAATTAGCCCATAATGCCGGCAACAAAATTGGCATAATTTGGGGCCTTTTCTGGTATGTTTCATGCATGATTGATATGTGGATGAAGAAATGGAGCAGAACTCAAGGTAGTGCCTGCCATAAGGTGTGTATAGTTCTGCCCATTTCTCTGCTTTTGGGAGCAGAAGTTTCCAGCTTTTCGAGCATTATCAGCGAAGGACTACCTCCAATGGAGAATTCACTCGCCTGGCTGAACAGTCCAGTACATATTGGCTGACCCGAGCTGGGCTGAAACCGAGTGCGACAAATACCATGGAAATGCTACGGAAATTAACTTAGTGAACCCATACCAGCCTAGCAATGCACTCAGTGCAAAGCGAAAGCTCAACGGACCTTTCTTCCATGTCTGAAGCAAACATACAGTACCATGTGTATGGTAGCCTAACTAGATGATTTGTAAGTACCGGCAAAGGCATAATATTATGGAAATAAAGTCTGAATGAATGAATGCATGGTTGAATGAATGAATGAATGTATGAATGGATGGATGGATGGATGAATGGATGAATGAATGGATTGGATGGAGCCGGCATGCCCTTCTACAAAATGTACGCTCTGTGTTTGTACATGTACGTGTATGCATATGGACCGGTCGCCGAATCAGATGGACAATCGCATCGCGAACTGGAAGTGACAGTCACCGTCCTGGACGAGAACTGCTATTTCTTCTACGATGCCGACATCATTGTCGTCCAGGCAAACACCGCCGGACACGAGAGCCGGAACTGCTCCGCCGTCATGCTGACCGACAATCACAACGGCGACGACGGAACGTAAGAGTGTGACACAAAGTGGTGTGGGTTATCATGGCACTCTCTGAAAATCATCGTTGCGTGTACTGCCTTCTGGCCGGCTGACTATGTTGTTGCTCTGTGTGTGTGTGTGTGTGTGTGTGTGTGTGTGTGTGTATGTGTGTGTGTATGTGTGTGTGTCACTGTGTGTGTGTGTGTGTGTATGTGTGTGTGTATGTGTGTGTGTGTGTGTGTGTGTGTGTGTGTGTGTGTGTGTGTGTGTGTGTGTGTGTGTGTGTGTGTGTGTGTGTGTGTGTGTGTGTGTGTGTGTGTGTGTGTGTGTGTGTGTGTGTGTGGACATGTATGTGGACATGTATGTGTGTATGTGTTGCGTTAGTACACCACTACACCAGTACATGATAAAAGCTTGCATCATGTTTCCATGGTAACTTAGTTAAAAAAATAGTTAAAAATTTAAAGGAGCTGAGGCCAGAGGCCATTGTCGGTTTATCTTGTGAATTTGATTCCTTTTTGGGGGGTCCTGAAGGGTCTTGTTTGAAGTTGTTTCTTCAGATGTTGTGCACATGTTTCCTGCTCAGATTTAAATTCAGAACAGTCCTATCAAGGTCCTTCACTTCACGAGATTAAACCGGGGGCTGAGGTTAAGGGGTATTTTTTATCTTCTGTATCTCGAGTACTTTTTGGGGCATTGAATGTCCTTGTTTCTTCGGGTGTTGTGCATGCTTTTGCTGCTCAGATAAGTTACTTTCAGAACAGTCACAGTAAAGGGTCACGGACAACACTTCACTCCAGGAGAATCATACTTCATAGTAGTAATGGGCCATTCACACTACGCCCAAAACGTGGCGTACGTGAAGTTTCGTCCGGATAGCCATGACAACATGGAACGTGGCGGGAAAATCGCACCCCCGATACGAAAACGTAGACGACGTATCCAGACCCCTGTACCGAGTTTCATACTGTCGTTCCCAGCAGTTTGTGTCCAAAAGAAGCTGTACACACAGTTGTACGAGTAACGTGTGCGTGCCTGTGTGAATGCACCTGCATGAAAACGACGTCTGCCAGTATGTCGTATTCCAAAACGTGACGCGTATTGTAACGTAGTATGAATAGCCTATAAGGGGCGAGGCTAGGGGTCATTTTCATCCTCTGTATCTCATGTTTCGAATTTGATCCATTTGTGGAGTATGGAATCAATGTCCTTGTTTCTTCGGGTATTCTGCATATGTTATGTATGCTGCTCAGATTCACATTCAGGACGGTTGTGCCTGGCGAATACTTGGACGAACGGTTCCCTCACGAGCCCCGTCCCAGCGTCATCCAGTTCAGCGTTCTGAAGCAAGACACGTGCCATTGCTTTCAGGGCATCACCACCCAGTTCTATTTCAAGGGTAAGCTGGAGAGAGGTCTGACGGCAGTTGCCCGGGAACTGCGGCATATCACATAAACACATACTTGTACATGTATGAACGGATAAACAAATTGTTTAGGGGTCGTCCATATAATTATGTATGTACCAGTATTATAAAAAGAATCCTGGTGGTTCAACTCGGATGGTGAGCCAATTAAATTATGGTGAAAAAGGAGAAGGACAAAATGTTACGAGTTATAACTAACTGTCCACCAACTCAGAACTGTCATAGCTGTCATAACTCGTAACATTTTGTCCTTCTCCTTTTCACCATAATCCTGGTGGTTACAGTCATTTTTATTTCACTTCAGAAAACATTTATATGTGTACTGTACATGGAATGCAGAAGTAGGAACGGTGACACACTTGCGACTTTGCTGTTAACATCGCATTCAAATTCAATGCTGATGTGTTTTGTATGCAGTCGGGTGGCACAAGTACTGGTACTGGTTTCACTCATGTACCGCACACTTTGAAGTTTGAATGCACTGCATCATCATGCACCACTCGTAAATCTATACTGCATGTGTGGTATGTTCAAAGCATAATGCCGCATCACGTTATGCCGGACGCGCACACATTCCCTGCAGTCTTAAAATTAACGGCACAGTGTACATGTGATTGGCTTGCTTACAGATGATCCATACCGTGGGAAGGATCCGTGTAAGGACTGCGGTTCCAGCAGCGACACACAGATGTTTGACTGCACACCGTTCTCTAGCCCATCGGCACCCGGCGGTTCACCCATCAAGTGCAGTGCCAATCTGACAGTCGTGCGCAATGCATCGTGCGGTGGGTACTATCTTCTACTGGAGAACCTCGTGTACTTCAGCCCACACTTCCCCCTCTTTTCCAGCCCGATCGCAATATGGCATGTGGTAATTACAAGCTCAGTTTCCTGGCCTGGAGATGTAAATCAGCACCGGCTCAGAAATGGATAATCCCCCCCCCCCCCCTCTTTCACTCTCCACCTATTGCCCCTACATACTTGCGTACTTCATGCAATGTGTGACATGAATGTCTAGCCTATCGGGATGCTTCGTGTTTTGGAGAGGTGGTGGGGGATTGAGCAGCTAGCTGTGTGGGGCTGTTGGCCAGTGCAGTGGCCCATGGCTTCCATGAGCACACAATCATAGTCTGAAGTACAGCAGCAAACATCAACAATCATCTACCTGGGGGGGGGGGGGGGGGCGTAACTATTTTTTTAACCCTTATTGTGCACATGTGTTTTGTTGAAAAAGACTCTGATGCACCGCCTCAGCCGCAAATCCGCTGCAGACCAGACTGCATGAATGGAGGGACCTGTGTCAAGTCAGGCCAGTGTGTATGTGCCCCTGGCTGGGTCGGTGCCTTGTGCGAGAAGAGACTCGGTGAGTACGCAGTCATGTAGAACATGCCTTGAAGTACATGAACCTCGACTGGGATTCATACTACATGTCGGGTACAGTCAGACCTCGCTTATCCGCACAGATGCGTTTTCCACAAAAAACCGGATAGGCGAGGATAATCGAACACACATACTGTATGTATGCATGGCAAATGCTGTAAATCGGTAACCAACGATTTTCTTCAGGATGGCGAGGGATCCGGATAAAAGAGGGCTGGATAAGCGAGGTCTGACTGTATCGGTATGCGGAGAGATGGGTGGGTTCAATTCAGCAAGGCTAGAACCCGGGACCGAACCCCCCCCCCCTCCCCCAGCTATTGACCTCTACCCAATTTTGTTATCTCTAGTTGGACAGACTATAAGCTACAGAACTTTACCAACCGGTATGTAACTGTTAGACCGAGGACTGACTAGCCATTGCTATGGATGTGTACAAGCCATGAGCGGTATTGACACAGCTGACACAGCTGACACAGCTGACACATTTGTTGGGTTATTGTGCAGATCCTGAACCAGTGAAGTGCGACAAACCTGAGCCGACGCCGTGTGCGGAGATGGGTCCATTCTACCGGCCGGCACAGCCCAAGCGCTCGCCAATGTGCGCGTCGGATCCTAACTTCAACACCAGCACCGTGGTAAGCCTGGGGCCCGTGTGTATGCACGCAGCAGTATGGCCAGTGTATCATTCAAGCCTCTAAGGCAGCCGGCAGTCAACTTCGCTAATAATTAACGACAGAATGTCCATGCCCAGAGCAAAGTCCCATCTTACTGTAGCCACACACTCCGCGCTAACACTGCACTGCTAGCCCCTGCCTTCAACAACCACACACTCTGCACACAGCCCCCTGCCTAACTACCGGTAACATACCACCGCTAGCCCCCACAGTCTCACACAGCTTCTTTATACCACCCTCTCCTGGCATATATACCGGCATGGTCGGCACCTGATCTTCATGTTGCCTGATGATTGCGTGAGCATGAAACTTGAACGGTAGCAGCAAACAAGCCTTGATTGTCCTTGTTGTTCTGTTGTCTAACTGTAATATATCATTATAATGAGACTTCGGGCATAAGGACACTTTTCTGGTGCCCCGCCGAGTGTCGTTACACGCAAAGTTGACAGTACACTACCTACACGTAGCTGTATGCATAGCAATGTTACTACTACTACTACCCCATCCATGATGTCACATGACCTAGGTCCTTCCATATCGGGGGCGCCGGAAGGTATTTTAGGGTGGTACCGCCTGAAGTGCAATTTACTTGCGGGATTGAGGTGGCTGCTCTGAAAATTTCCGATACTTTACAGCCCAAATCAGTTATTGATTCACAGGTCACCTGGTGCAAAGAGTGGTATGGTAAACAGCTCAGTGATCGGAGCGTGTCCGACGCCCCTGCACATAAAAGCTGACTTCATACTCGTTGACGGTCACATGATCTACGAGTGGCACAATAATCATGCTGCCAGGTACTAGTATGTGACCTAAGCTAACGGACACAACGTAGATTCACGTGCGCGGTACAGTCAAGCTGTAGCCGTAGCTAGCCAGTTTTAGTCCTACTGTGCATATATACTGCGGCATTGATGGTATCTGATGTCGATGGTGGTACAATGTGTATATGTTTGCACGGTTGAGCCCGCCTTGTTATACCCTTCATTTTGAGGTACATCTTGTATTTTACACATGGTTTTCTACATTACATAACTCTCGATATAACGTAATTATTGCGTGGTCCCAGAGATTACGTTATATGGAGAGTAGACCTGTATTATGTTCTGCTGGTGTGCTACACATCCAGATGAAGATGAAGTTCACCCTGCGTGTGCAAGATGACACTGACTGTACTCCCCTGGCCAACATGCCAGTGGATCTCTGGCACGCCAACTCCCTGGGGAAATACATGGACAATGACTGCCGCTCGGCTGAAGTCACTGATGAAAATGGCATGTAAGAATTCGAAGATACGATGTGATGAACAGTTGATGGTAATTAACTCCTGGCCACATCAGTATCAGGAGTGCCAGTATTGATTTCTTTTCTTATTGCAAGCTAAGTTAACACATGCCAATGGGTCTACTGTGAATACAATGAGGACTTGAAGTAAATCCTACGTTTTAACGAGTGACATGTACTCGTTAAAATGTGTTATGTGCGGATATGCCTGAAGAGTCGTGAAGACTGCAATATTGCTAACGTATCTTCTCGTTAACGTATGGATTTTGGACAATCGTTAAATTTGCGACTCGTTATAACAACATGTCTTACAGTATCTTGTACAGTCTGTAGTATGCATGCTTCTGTTTGTTTTCGTCTCCTCATTCCCTTTGTTAGGCTGACTGTGGAGACGGTGTACCCGATGAACTACACCGGCAGACCGCACCACATCCACATCTTTGTGCACAACACGTCACAGTGCCACGACCGACTTGTCATCCAGGGCTATTTCCTCGGTGAGTGTGCGGGCTCTTGCAAAGCGAAGAAAGTCATGGAGAAACCAGTATAGGAAATCCTTTTTGAACGTGTTGACTGCAGTTAGAGAATGTCAGCTCACACCACCACTTGCTCGGATACAAGACTAACAAACAAGCAAGTGCAGCCATAAGTGGAAGCTACGTACATGCAGCACTACATTACACTGTAACACCGGAAAGTCTAACGTTTTAACGACCAATTTTTTCGTTATTTGAAAAAACGTTATCACTAGATGTCTGTGTAAAGTTGCGCATACAGATGGGTGGCTAGGTAGCCATCGTTAAACTTTCTGCACGTATTCATGCCAAAACTACAAAAAAAAACGTTTAACCTTTTGGTCATCACACTTTCCGGTTTTACAGTATACAGTGTACGTGCAGCCGCATTCAAGTTGGCTGTATGTGTCTAGTCCAACTACCTGTGGATGTATGCCGTTTGTAGCTGAGCCGCCTGTCTGTTCTGGAGGAAGCATCTTGCAGTACAGTGAGGTGCGTGCTGAATGGCCAGCCAGCAAAGCGTGATGGTTTGAATGCCCGAGTGCATGCCCCCCCCCCCCCCCCCCCTGAATAGATGTTCTCTAATAGTAACATGCACAATTCCTGAGGAGTGTGTCAAAAGTGTGTGCCTTTTTTAAAATACAGTGTTTAGAGCCTGATGTTAGAACGCCGGAGTTTCTCGGCTTGGCATACCCAGCTGGAAACACATTCTTGCAGTAGACAAATCATGATATTCCCCTTGCCCTGTCTTGTCACAGGTGATCCGCTGCGCAGCCCGCGCAAGGAGGCATGCCGGGCGTGTCACTCGGACGACCCGCGCCTCTCCATGGAGTGCACAACGTCGGGCCAGCTGATGGAATGCTCCTACACGGCGACTCTGCAGCGGTACCGCGAAAGACCGGGCTGTGCTGCCAGGCCACACACACACATGGGTAGGAAACGTCATCGCATCCCGACAGTCGTTCATTGATCGAGGAAGAGGTTGTTCACAGGTTTCCACGCAGTTGCTCAGAAAGCCTCACAACGTGCACATGTCAACGGCAATCTTCATCATCTCTGCGGCTGTTTCGTGTATGATTATACTATTCAATATTCTGCCGTGGAGCCTTTCCCAGTACAGAATGATAAATAAAATGTAGGATTTAATACAGTCGCGTGCCAGTTTCCCGGCACCCTCGGGACGGAACGGTGTTGGATAAATGAATGTCCTCGGATAACTGAAGCTGCATCTTCTGTTTAAATCACACATCAACAGGACTGAAGAGCTTGATTTCACCTTTACTCTCAAATCTCAAATTCTCTATTGCATTTACTGTAGTACCATCAATAGACCATCACAGTCGCCATGCTTGTTTACTACCTACTTGAAGTAGTATAATTATAGACTGACTTGTATGCAACATTCATGATCAATGCTCACTGTCCACATTTACTTGAAGCAGGACTGTAAGAGTATACTGTATAACATTGTAATTAAATTTTTAGGTGTAGTGAAATTTCGGTATCAGGAACCTGCCAGGTTTCAGGTGTAATGAAGGATTAGGTGACCAGCTGCAGCGTTCCCTGCACCTACAGCGCATACTCCAGTGCCATTTGGGTGTTAAATCTAAATTTAGGTGCCTGGGTTCTCTACCGAAATTTAAGTTACACCGAAAATAACGCGTTACACAGTACAGTGTATGAGCTGTCAGTATTTTTCTGCAAATTCAGCCCCGATATGTACCGCAAGATTTGCGCATACTCCAAAGAATGTTCCCGCGGGGGACAGTTCTGGGCTGCGTTCGTTTTCAGCTACCTGGTAAGGTAGAGTGGAGTCAGTGCACGAACGCTGTAGCCTGTTCTCCTGGATTTAATAATTATTTTTCACGATAAGTACAGCAGAGTCGCGCGCGTTGTTTCCAAGGGGTTAGCCTGGGACGTTCCTATTTTTTCAGCAATCTGGCTGCGTTCTTATAGCACGTTCTTAGTACCACGATCCATACTGGATCATATGTATTCCACAAGCTGCCAGAAAACCAACACCGCCGGTCTTATAGGCTATTCATACTACGTTACAATACGCGTCACGTTTTGGAATACGACGTACTGGCAGACGTCGTTTTCATGCAGGTGCATTCACACAGGCATGTACACGCTGCTCGTACAGCTGTGTGTACAGCTTCTTTTGGACACAAACTGCCAAGAACGACAGAATGAAACTTGGTACAGGGGTCCGGATACGTCGTCTACGTTTTCGTATCAGGGGTACGATTTTCCCGCCACGGTCCATGTTGTCATGGCTATCCGGACGAAAACGTCACGTACGCGACGTTTTTGGTGTAGTGTGAGTGGCCCATTAGCTTTAGAAGTTTAGGCTGTGGCGTTCTTAGAATTTCAGGCTGGACGTTCTTGGGCTCCACATTCTTCAGCGTGCGACTCTACTGTATGTACGTGAAATGTTTTTCTTCTGCATGGAGTTGTGTACAACCAAGAGTACATGAACTTTTCATGTACTCTTGGTACAACCCATTGATTTGTATTCTACGATAAACCAGCCCCCATGACGTTTCTAAGCTGCAGCTTCAACGCTATGTGGGTGATCAAGGTATCAAGAGTACGGAAAAAAATAGCGTTACCATTGTTTGCTAAGGATAACGATCTCCTAAAATTGAACCGTTTTTATGCTCACTCATTCCCTCAATAGAGAGGTTCCGCATAACGTAATTACGTTAGTAAAAAACGTAGTCGATCTACGGAAAGTCTTACGTAAACTGCATGGGCATCTGTGTTCCGCCATACAGAGTTTTCAAATCACGTAGCTGCCCTTGGCAACTCCGAACGCGGCAGTGTACGACCAGATCGACCTGGGGAGAGAGTCATAAATGTGTACCCTAATCCACTTACGGACCAGCTACGTTATCAGAGCCCCCTATCTACGCACTCTATACATAGACAACTTTCCGTAAGTGGAGTGCAAACTCGCGGATTCACGGGTTTTTCCCGCCCACTAACGTAAAGTTGCTCAACCTTACGTAGTGCGGAACCTCTCTATTAGCAACATCTAGAACTGAGAGGATGAAATCAAGCACTTCCCATCTGATCATGCACGAACTGCAGTCGAGTTGTGCGCCGAAGCACACCCAGCCTGAAATGCCAAGTTGGTTTCATGGCAGCTTTGGGATACATACCGTATGTCAGCGCCTTTAAAGCCATGGCCTTACATTCGAAACATCGCTGCTTTCCTAGCTATTTTAGATGCAAAATGACTTGCCCACTACGCCATGCCATAAAAGTCAAAGTCCACATAGAAATTTCAATCTAAAACCACTTGTTCACCCTTCCTGCTGGTCTGCAGGTTTGTTAGCATAGTACTAATTCCTTCATTTTTACAAAACATACTTCAAATATACATTCATTTATGTTACTGTGTCATCATCTATGTGTCATGCGCTACTTGATGTACCAGCCTGCTATGCCGGATACCGCCAGTCATGCACCGACCAGGCGCCAAGCGTGAACTGATGGTGGTGGCGGTGAGAAGGAGAGCTCTTGTGTCAGAACTTTGCAGCCTAGAGAGTGTGTGTGGGCAGGCGTGTGTTTACCACCATATTGCCAGGTGTGTCTTTACCACCATATCAACCATAAGTACAGCTACAGTGGTGTCTTCAACTTCATTTATGAGGCCCATGGCTTTATAACTGAGACTGGCTTTATAATCGAATATACCTCCATGGCTTTAAAGGTATGGACATACGGTAATATTATTAGGATTGGGTACGAATTGTTTTTAAGAAAGTGTTAAACGCAGCCAGATTGTTGAAAAATAAGGGCGCGTTTGGTTGGTACGAACTAGAACAGAATTCACCAGAACAGCGCGTTTGGTTGGGACTGCACCTGTTCTGGGTCGGCCAGAACATGTTCTGCTTGTTTCGGCCTCGAGGCCGGAGCAGACCGAGCAGTTTCACTTTTTCACAGTGAAACCTGGCGGGAACATCGATTTTGGTCCCAAATGATCACGTGTATACGCTTTTGGGTTGGACTTGTCGTACCGTACACAGTGACCATGGTGACCCATACACATTTTGAAGAATGCATCAAGTTTGGCATATTTTTCACAAAAAATATGCTCTGTTTCTGGAGTACCGTTTGGTTGGCATGAGGCTGCTCCATGTGCACCAGCTGTTCGATCCTGTTCTAGATCGTACCAACCAAACGCACCCTAAGACAGCCCAGGCTAACCAACCCCTGGAAACAACGCACATCTCTACTGTAGCTCAAGGAAATCAAGAGAAAACAAGTCATGCAACCCAGAGTATCCTGTATTTAGCTTCTGACTTTTCTGAATGGGTGTCAAATTACAGCGAAATACTGGGATTACATCACATTTGATGCAGTGGTACAGTGCGTACACCGGAGCCACTGTTGAGCAGAAAAAGATCTGCTTGGATAGTTCTTGCACACACCACCTGACCAAAAATAATGTAATACCGGAATGTCGACGTGACAGCAACGATCAAACCATCCGAGCTGCACTCTGGGTTTCATGCACTCTTCAATTCGCATTATCACTCATGCGAGGAACATTGCAACATGAAAATGAAGTCAACACTACACTCTTGAGAGTTATGCTCTTGCTGCATACCGTATTTCCCAGATTATAAGTTGCAACCCATGTTTAATTCTGAACCAAATTGTATGAATACATTCACATGAGTAGGAGGTAACTGGATTGTAAGTGGCACCCCTTCTTTGTTTTATAGGGTAGAAAGGTGAGACTTGCATTCGGGGAAATACGGTACGTAGGCTACAAAGTTTCAGACTGACCAAGTGATACTGCCTCTACATAGCATGAACGCAGAGCAGGACTCAACAACCACCTTTGGCATGGTCAAAAGTCACTCAAAGACCTCTCGGTCTGAACACATCACTAAACCCCACACCAACATGCACCAGCATATACCAACCGAAACAAAGGCCAAGCGATTGGTTTGCTTTTTTCAACAGCCGTGTTATTGGTGGCAAAACATACTTTCAGCGTTTAATGCTGCTTTCTGCGGAAGGAGCAGCCTGTAAAACAAAACAGAAGAGAAAGGCAAACATAGACCTTATCAGTATTCAGTCAGAGTCAGTATTCTTGGCAAACGGAGAAGTTTTTATGACTACAACAAAGCATCACTATAGCCAATGACAAAGTGCATGTGAAGAAGTGGTTTTATTATTATTATTATTATTATTATTAGTATTAACTTTTATTTTACTAGGGTTTTGATTCGAACGACGTGCTAGTATTACAAAGCCAGCCAATAAGTGGCCAGCGGGCGCATAGAAGTGAGTTTACGGTAATGTATGTGAACCTCGTATCACTACAAGGGATATATTCTCATAGCCATACTGATCCTAGAGCAGTAGGCAGAATTTCGGACCAAACAACAACCAGGTCCAGTGTTCTAGAATGCCAAGATCTTGACGATTGTGCTCAGAACCAACGGATAGCATTTTGATTGGGCCAACAATGCTGTCTAATTTTCTGCTTCCCGCGTCTACACACAGAGTGCAGTCTTGTAAACATACAACTAAATATAGCGCTCTTCAAGACTGAGCACTTTACAAATCGAGGTAGCATGCGCGCAGTCCAGTTATTTGTTGTATAAATATTCAAAATGTGCTGGTTGTTAGAGTACCATGCTGCCAGCAATTGGTGCAAAAACATGCTGTGTATGATTCGCAGTTAGGTACATTTGTGGAAATTGTCACAAAACTACCAACTGGCTTCGCAAATTTGCTCGCAGAGTAATAGCATCTGCGATGACAGAAGATCCAGGGTGTGTTGGTCATCACTACTACTACTAGTATTTGTTTCCCCAGTTACCTTCCTTGAACTAATTTTTATTATCATGATTTACAAACATTACTCCTGAAAATATTTTGTGCAAAAATAATTGATAGCAGTGAAAATGTCTCATCTTATCGTTTTGTGGTGTCAATTAAGCACCCAGGGTTCAGAGGTAAAATGCTACTATGACCACCAAAATTTCACAAAATGACATTATTCATATCAGGGCTAGAATCACGGCATCGAGAACTATTTCCCTTTCTTGGAGTGGCAAGCAGCACACAAGGACGCACGCATGCATACGAACCAAACGCACGGTACTATTTCACCTACGACAGGGCTAAGCCAAACTTACCCTCGATCAAACGAGCACGTCCACCAGTAGGCTGGCAGAGAATAGTGGAGCAGCTTTTGCAGACAACCACTGTTTGAGCATGGCTAAAGACGGTTGTGATCTTGTAGCATCCTATACAGTACAAAAACACAAGTGAAAGTCCCCGACACGAATCGATAAAATTTTACCCTGGACCTATTCAACAGCGTCAACCACCAATCGCCACTATGCTCCACAAGCATACCTCGGCACTTAACATCCATGAAGAATGAGTTCGGGCTTTGCACAAGGCGCTTCAGCTTGTGCTTTTGCTGCTCAGACTTGGCAGTCGGGCAAAGGAGATCGCGTGCGAGCTAAGGCACAAACCGACGAGAAATAGCTCTCAGAGACATGTCCAACAGCTTACGGCATCCTTTCATTCTAATCCAGAGTCGAAAACTGGCCCTAACATCCTAGAAAATCGACTTACAGGCATCTTTGCACTTCTTGCAGCTTGCAAGGATGGCACGGCAGAGAAAGAGAACGAACTCAAACAGCAGCAGCCATTTTGTCGCCCCGCAAGAAATATACGAAAACGGGAGTTTGCATGACGTCACATGATATTGCGCTTTTCCGATGCAACACGTAGCCTACATGCATTGTGTAGGTCACCGAGAGTGGGTGCACTAGCGACTCGCGCACCCGTTGCAGCATTTTTTGCAATCCTCCACTTTGACGTCACGTACGTATACTTCGAGAACTGCACAAAAAATAGCAGGTCCACATAAAAATGTATAATGAACTGAACTGAAGTCAGTGAAGACAGTCAGTGAATTCATGAAGTGCATAATTATTCAGCTGGAATGCGCCGATAAGGTTCTATTCTTGATCTTGAACAAGTAGTTGAAGCACCGTCACGTCCGTAGCTGTAATAAAGCCAGTAATTATGATGGAGTCATGCAGGTCCGTGGCACTTGCGCTACATGTACTTGTCCTTCTTATTTGGGCACTGTGTATGCAACAATCAGCAGCTCTGAAAGCTGGCGTCGCCAAAGTGGATGGTGAGTCACTGCACTTGACTCCTATCACTCACTCATGCAGTACCAAGAGTATTATAAACCAAAGCGTACTCTTCGTCATACCAAGAGTACACATACCCATGTACTCTTGATCATACTCATGCAAGTCCGTGGCCATACTGGTCTGAAATCACAAGATATAAAAATAATAATCATGAACAGTATTTGGAATGCATACCACATGCACACTTCATTGAAGTGACTATGGGAGTATGGGGGTACTCAGTGGAGTAGCTGGTCCGCCGTTTAAAGGGGGGGGGGGGGGGCAGGCACAGTCGAAGTATTTTTGAAGCAGTTCGTACAAACAGTAGAGTTGCGCGCTTAAGAACATGGAACCTAAGTCAGTAAGAGCGTCCAGCCAGAAATACTAAGAACGGCATAGCCTAAAGCTAAGAACGGCAGTGTTGGTTTTCTGGCAGCTCATGGGATGCATATGATCCAGTACGCACTGTTTCTAAGAACGTGCTATAAGAACGCAGCCAGATTGCTGAAAAAAAATAGGAACATCCCAGGCTAGCCCCTCGGAAACAACGTTCTTGGGCGCGCGACTACTGCATGGTAGTAGTAGGTTTCAACACTAAATTGCGCTGTATAAAAAATAACCATAGCTAGCTTCAAGTCCAAGTGGACTGCATACTACTGTAGCACTCGATTCTGGCTTCCAAGCAGCTACTGAACTCAGCGGCGATCCCCAGGCCATTTGGCCTAAGTATGCATATGCTGAACAAATGTCGAACGATTTTTTCCACATGCCCTGTTCTACTGACATAGCATTGAGGCTGTTGCAGGTCTGTTAGCAGAGGGATTTTGCAATGGCGTTTCTATCATTTCGATTAGCTCGTGTGTTGACCTAGGTAAGGAAAAAGCATAGCGAAGGACCAATTCATGTATGTTCTTTTGGTTTTTTGCATATTTGTTCTGTGCCTTGCAGCAACGCTACCTGTTGGTGTTCCTTTGGCTGGTAGGTGGGCAATTGCCATTCTCCATGCAAGTTCAGAGTTCCCACTATGTCTGTCAAACTAGGTTGTCCCTTGATGCTTACCGGTGGGTCTGTGTCTGCAGAACTGCTGCACTAGTTCCACCAGGCTGTGATGCATTTGTTTGCACGTTCTGTCCTGGTGATTAGTAAAGCTTTATTTTGTACGGAGTCGTCGCAGAATTTTTGTGGTCCCTGAAAAGAGCATTGTTCAATGGGGGGGGGGGGGGGGGGGTGAACCAAAATCGCATATGCATGTACATGCATGCAGTTTGTGTCATCCAGCATAGCAAGCTACATTCATTTTGGAGAGGGATAGGTCCAAGTACAAAATGAATAATGTTCGTTTCAGGGATGGCGAAAAACTGTTGCGACGACCCCTAATGAAAAATCTTTTTTCTGCATTGGCTGTTTGCAGGCTTCAGCGCTCGTAAAACAAAATTCTGGCCAATCCCCAGGCCGACCAAGTACACTACTGTAAGTTGTATTGTGTGAGCATGTGCACCAGACCAGGCCCGGCTCTGCTAGCTATTGCAGAAAGTAACTACTTCCTTGAAGTACAATTTCCTCTGAGACAAAAATGCGATAATACTCATAAAAAGGACACACTTCAGGCTCATTACGAACATCTTGAAGTACAATGTAGTTACTTTCATTCTGTGAGTCAAATATTGAGAAACGCTAGGAAAAGGTAGTGCCACCCACAGTTAGATTATTCAAAGAGTACCGGCTCATTTACCCCAAAATACTACCAATTAGGGGTGAAACGATTAAGGGATATTCCTTAACGGTTAATCCAAAACTTATCGATTACTTATCGATTATTATCGATTAAGGGGCCGTCCGTAAATATCGATGTTTTTTTAGAGACGATATTCGTTCGTATGGGGTGAGGGTTTTTTGACGCTGTTTGTTGTTTTTGGCGGAAAAAAATATCGATCTTCACATACGCTATTTTTAGGTATGCACCTGGCTTTTACTTGCTTGTCGCGGCTCGTGCACCATGCAGCATGCAGGCACTTGAACCTTGTGTCTTGTAGTACCAAGAGTACATACTCTTGGTACTACTACTAGTACTGCAGCACGTATTATGTACCTACCTGTACACACAAACCGTTCAATATAAAAAATATCGGTCCACTGCATAAATGTATGGATGTTCGTCACGTGATTAGAGGGGGGGGGGGGGGGGGAGGGGTCTGGGGAGATATGAACAAATATCGTCTCTAAAAAAACATCGATAATTACGGACGGCCCCTAAGCACCACTGACGAAAAACTCACCATTTTGCATCAACTACAATCAATTTTGGAACTTCGAAGAGAACAAAAATAAAGGAAACATCGACCGTCGCACAGGCACAAACTGATTCTGAAGGCTACTTGTCCAGAATAGTGAGTTCCGTGAAGCAACCGGAACGAAAATTCGCGGGTACGAATCAGTGCACGGTGCAGAGAAAAGAGCCGCGTGTCATACAATAGATCTAGAGAGTACATCAGGTAGATCTACCGGGTAGAGTCTACGCGTGTGGTGTGTATCCAGAGCATGAGCAACTCGCTGTGAGCGCTGCATACGCGAATCCACTCGTACTCTGGTACATGTGCTGCACGCAGTAAAGTCATGTAGACACACTGCACATGCCGGATATTTCGTCGTACCGTATAGTATGTCGTACGAAAATGCTGTAGCGATTAGAAAAATCGTAATCGACTAGATTTTTTTCGATTAATTTATCGACTAAACCACATAATCCTTTCACCCCTACTACCAATATATTCCCTGTACTTGTACCGGTACTGGCATTCTGCGAAGACATCTCCAGTGCCCACAAGAGTACATGAAACCCAGAGTGTGCAGCTTATGACGTTTTCTGCATGGCTGTCTGTCACTGTGAAATTCTGGGACTGCGTCGTACTTGGTGCAGATCTGAGGCCGGTGGGACGTGGCGTGGTGCGTGCAACTGAGCTGCAGTTGTGCAGAAAGAGACCTGCTTGTATGCACTATATCACTAAAACGATGACGTAATCACGGAATTTCGCCATGGCAGCAACCGAACCGAGCTGCACGCTCTGGGTTTCATGTACTCTTGGTACCCATACTGACAGTTAGTAATACCTGAAATAATTGTTGGATGCGGGTTCCCAGTTACCTTTCCGTACAGATATCCCTCCCGCACGTGTTCACATCATTTCACTCATAACTATAGCATGCCTTCTTGTACTTATATTCTTCATCTTTTATGGAGAATCTAGCCTTATGGTTAGATGAGAAGGCAGGAATGCCTGTGTATCTGGTTATAAAAACAAACAAACAACAAACAAACACATAGTAAACTTCTGTCGCTCACACTGGCATCAATAAACTGACTTCAGACTGATGCCAAATAACATCCAGTACGTCCAAGTGAGAATCAGCCAAAGTCCATAGAACATATCGGTAATGCGTGCTGGTCTGAGTTGATCATCACCAACAGCCATGGTGCGAATCACGTGGCCATAAGCGCTCTTGTGTGATTGGTATTTCCAGTTCATGGAGCCCAGCGTAGGTCACCTGGATCCCACTTGGACAAAGGCGCTGGTCCTGAAAGACGACGACGGCACTGAGCTGTGCATTATCACCTTTGACGGCATCGGTAAGCCCCGTGGCGAAGCTTGACCCGCTGCACAACTACGAGTACTGTGTTAAGTGTAATTTGGGGGTCAGTTGCCTGATGATCGTGGCTACGTGAAACTCGGAGTTGCAACACAGCTTCCCCTCTCTCTCTCTTGTGTAATTTTAGGGATGTTAAAATTTCGGTGCCAGGGACCTGCCAGGTTTCAGGTGTTATTTAGAAGCAGGTGACCAGCATTCCCTTCACATACTGTGCATCCTCTAGTGCCTTTTAGGTGTAATCTAATTGAGGTGCCTGGTTTCTGTACCGAAATTAAAGTTACACCGAAAATAACGTGTTATGCAGCATGCTGTGCAGTGCATTGAGTTGCGGTAGTATAGAGTGGCTTCACATCTAAGTTATCACATGACCATACAGGACAGCCACGTTGGCTCCAACTCCAGTCAACCTCCTGCATCTATGGGTCACATGATGTTGGCAGGCATGTTGGTTCCACTGTGCACATGCCATGATCACTGTGTACACAAATTTGGTCACATGACGAAGATGTGAAACCACTCCATACAATCATGCCATGGCTGTTAACCACACCATAGTTTTTCTTGTTGTTCAAGCTTTACTCTACTCCATCTTCATACAAATTCGACAAAAGCAAGCAGATCAAATATCAAGCGTTTCAGATGTAGAAACGAGGCCACTGGAGATGCATCGTTTTCTCTCCTTTCAAAATGTACATGTAGTCATTGCATTAAATACTCGTCCTTGTTTGGTGTTGCAGGTGCAGATGGAGCGCTGCGCAAACTGGCCTACTACAAGGCAGCCGTCCTGGGCTTTCCCCTGCCTCTGTCCAACGTCATTATGTCAGGCTCTCACTCGCACAGCGGCCCTGGCGCCGTCAGTCCGGAGTTCCTGTGGGAGTTTGCGCCTGCCACGGACCTGATTGTTCCTGGTAGGTGGTCACACAGCTGTCTGCCATTTATCGGTGCAGTAGGCGAGAAGATTGAGATACCAGTCTTGATCAAGAGGTGAACGTATGGTCAGGTGTGATCATGCAACTGTGTGCCATTGGCGTTTTCCTGGTGTCCAAACGCCGAGAATATTTTGAGTCTTGACCAAGAGGTGAAAGTATGGTCAGGTCTGGTTTGATAGTCTTCTGCTCTTAGTGTACATGTAAATCAACATTCTTTCGGCCGGCTATTGGCTGAAATCATACTTTGGCCGTGTGCGGTGGCCGAAAATCGATCGATAGTTTTTCTTCTTCTCTTCACTGCTATAATGGTCCAATCTTGCATCATTGGCACCTGTGCCACATTTTGACCGGCAATTTACTTTGGTTGATGCCAAGCGGCAACACCGGCGGACTTGAATCGACTTTGAAAAATTAGTTGATTTACAGAATTTTACCTTTTATGCTGTGCACTGTCTTTTTGTGCGCTCCAGAATTGCAGAACATGGTGGCCGAGAAAATGGCTGAAGCAATGATGACCGCCTACAAGCAACTTGCACCGGCCTCGGCTGGGATCGGTAATGATGGCATCGGCTGATAGCGTCATTGTAGAGCAGTGTTTGTTGCTGTACATGTGTGCTTTTGCTAGTAATCACTGACTGTTGATTTGATTTAATTCGAGCTATAAAAAGTATGAACGCCGCAGACGTCACTACGCAACATGGCAACTTGCAAGAGGTTTATGCAAGTTGTCATGTTGTGTGGTGATGTCTGCAGCATTCACACTTTCTATAGCTCTAATTAAGTTATTCAGCACACGAAGCACAGAAGCCATATAATTTTTTCCGACTAGGCCTTTCATTCCATTACTCTTCAGGTCGAATACAATGGTGATTAGCAAGGTAGTAAGCAAGTCCTTATAACCGGCACTTTTGGCGGGCAGAGCATTGACAAAAATAGCACTTGAAAAATAGCGCTAGTGGCGCCAACAGCGTATTTGGCGGTCAAAGCATAGACCAAATAGCACTTTAAAAGATAGCGCTAGTGGCGCCAACTACACTAGCGCTATTTTTCAAGTGCTATTTTTGTCAATGCTCTGCCCGCCAAAAGTGCTGATTATAAGGACTTGCTTTCTACCTTGTTAATCACCATTGTATTCGACCTGAAGAGTAATGGAATGAAAGGCCTAGTCGGAAAAAATATATGATTGTCGTTTTATTTGAACTGTTTCTGTGCTGATTTGATGTGTGCGAACCATGCAGGCGTATCACAATTGTTCAATGTCACCAAGAACCGCCGTGCCGGTGTCAGCCCGTTCTTGAAGCCCACTGACATCGACCCGAACATGGCAATAATCAGTGTTGATTCGGCGGATGGGAAACCACTGGCTACAGGTATTGATTTAGGTCTTTCCCTGCATGTGTATGTAAGTACCTTCATTTTCATTTTGAAAAGGCGGCGTGGTGACAATAGTTTTAAAAGGATGGCAATAAAGAATAAACAGAACCAGCTGAAGCGACATTTTATGAAGGCTTTATTGGGCCTTTTCAATTATGAAGTATTTCAAGCCGAGGTGCACACGGACTCAGTTAGATTTACTGAATGTCGTCTTGAAGAAATGTTTCTACTGCCGGAATGTCACGTACAATGTAGCGTTCTTGAAGCGTTATCTGGGTATTGGCGTTTGTCCCATGGGTGTTTTCTTTGGTCATCACCACTTTATCTAGAATTTGTTCGTGACATCCCAATAAAGCCTTCGTAAAATGTCGCTTCAGCTGTTTCTGTTTATTTTCATTTCCATTGGATTGATTGTCCAAAGGCAACCCTTCTCTTTCTTGCCTATTAATTTTATGAGTAGTCCACGCACCTGTTTTCCAGCCAGTTTTCAGTTCAAAATGATCATGTTAGGCTACTGATTCTATCTTTGAGCTAGGCTCTTTCGCAATCGGGTGAGTTTGAGTGACTCAGTTGAAATGGTGTTAGCCTGTATGGGATTGACCGCTCACCAATGTCGTATCACCTCTTTGTCTATGCATGGTGTGTATTTTGTGTCTGTGTGTCTATGTGTGTCTGTACGACTCTACGTCTGTTTGCTTGTGTGTCTGCCAATTTGTCCAGTTTGGAACTTTGCCATCCATGGCACATGCCTGGGCTCGAAGAACTTGAACAGTTCAGCAGACATCATGGGAGCTGCCAACGCGGCCATTGAGTCGCTAGTTGGCGGTACCGCACTCTTTATCAATGCCGACGCCGGAGACATTGCACCAAGTAAGGAGCAATGCCACCAGTTGTGCGCGCGTGCGTGTGTGTGTTTGTGTGTGTGTGTGTGTGTGTGTGTGCGTGTGTGTGTGTGTGCGTGTGTGTGTGTGCGTGTGTGTGTGTGTTGGAAGAGGAGCGACTGGAAAGTGCATGGGTATCACCACCACCTCAAACATGTTTCTGCGGCACTACTAGTACTACCGTGTAGTGCTGTGTATTCCGAGAGATGAAAAACAGAGAACACCGACCTCCAATTCCAACCAATCAAGATCCATACTCCGTACCTTTTGCAAGCATACACCGGATGAACTCAGGATGATAACCTTTAAAGCTGTAAAGTGGTGTAGCTGACGTCCACAAAGACTTTAAAGTAACCTACATGTACTCTCAAGTACTCTCAATATTTGAATGTAGGTACATGTACACACATGTGAAGTGCCTCCTGGTTGAGGAAGCTACATGTACCCGGATATGGCAGTTCTCGGTATCTAGTAGAGAGAACTTTTTGTACTGTTTGATCAGGTGACAAGCCGATACAAACAAGCATCACCAGTTGTGCCCAAAAAGCCAGATTATTTAGTCGCATGGGCTGCCGATTATATTTGAGTTGTAGCGAAGATCATGATCCTTTGTTGTGCCTTGGCTGAGCCTCTTGACACATGAGCTGCCAGTTACAAATCTGACCTGCTAGCTGCTTGCAGTTACAAAATGTGTACCGACAAGACGACTGATCTGTCTTACTTCCTGTTTTCCGTCGTCTTGCAGCTGGGGCAACGTGCGACGGAAACGCGGAGAGGCCGCACTTTGCCGGTGCTGACATCATCGCAGCGCATGTCAAGGAAGCGCGCAGTGACGTCAAGGTCTATTCGGATCTCCAGTTGCAGCTCAAGTCACAGCTGATAGACTTTGGTCTGACTGATCTCAACCTGACTTTGGCGCGAGTGCAGAACTGCTCTTCGGGCGGACCGCTGGATATCTGTGGAATCTGTGAATTTGTAAGTCGTCGCAGCGCTCTGCTGGTGCAAGATTTCATGGTGCTACATTTTCCCTTCGCTGGTTCACATATTTTAGAGACATTTCTCTCTCTCTCTCTCTCTCCGTCTCTCTCTCTCTCTCTCATATTTTCTCTCCCCTCCCCTCCTTCTTTCTATCTCCCCTACTGTGCTGAATCCTATGCGAGTGAGCTTCGGCCCGCACCCCTGAAAATATTATTGGTCACGGTTCTGGAGCTCAGTGCCTGTATTTTTGTGTGTGGGCACCTGTCATCCTCTAGTTTCCGCACAGGATGTTGGCAACCTTGACTGAAATATGAGTAACATTTTGTCTGTGTATGTACTTCAAGTAATGGGCGGGGTATTTTCGCATCACGACTTCTCCTTTAGTGCTGTTGCTCTCGTTCTTGTTCTGATGCGAACCGTGTTTTTTTAATGTTCTTTAATATTCAGCTAAATTGTGACCTTCACCTGCGATTGGACTCTTCCTGGGTGGAGGAGATGCCGCGCTTCACAGCTGTGAAATTTGTGTAAGGCCAATGTGTCGTTTTGTGGCAGTATTAAATACTATGGCTTCTATTAGGGCTGAAACGATCGCAAAATTGTGCACACCTATTACTCATTTCTTTACCAATCGATCTACCGATTGTAACCCATAAGATTCTCTCAATTTTGATGCAATTAATCCAATTCTAGTTTTTGCGGACCGAAAGGCAGGTAAAATTGCTGTTTGAAGTAGGGCAGGGAGAATGCCAGACGCTTTGTAACTGTTAAAGTTTGTTCTGAGATGTTAGGTGCAATCCTCTGCTAATCCTTACTTGTAATTGCACCAGCAGCAGCGCTACCACCATGACCATCACCGTCAGGGTACATGTATAATTCCCGTAGCTATGCAGAAGACGTTACTTCAGTAACGTCTGGCGCTAGCCAGGGTCCACACAGCTTTAATTTGGTATTTGTTTGTTTGTGTGTTTGTTTGTTTGTTTGTTTGTTTGTGTCACGCCTGGCGCTATCCGTATCTGACGGCAAAAAAGCATAGGATGTTATAAATTTTTCAATTCTCCTTTTTTTCAGGCATATCCTGGGATTCGAACCCGCACTATCGCCCTACATGCATTCCCCCATACACTTCGCATTCATACCCATTCTTCCAAGTTGCTTCACGTTAATCTTGCGTTTGAAAGCCCTATTTGAATATTGCGGGCAGCTAGACGGTGTCGTATTACCCTCGATCGTACCTGTCCCGTACCTATTCCCTACCGTACCGTGCCATCAAAGATGGCTGGCCACAATGCATATTCAAATAGGGCTTTCAAATGCAAGATCACAATGTGAAACAACTTGGAAGAATTAGTATGTATGCGAAGTGTATCGGGGCCTGCATGCAGGGCGCGCGATAGTGCGGGTTCGAATCCCAGGTTTAAAAAAAAGGATTTTTTTAAAGAAAACATCCCTATGCTTTTTTTTGTCTAGGTCATCAAGGCAAAAAAGCATAGCGCAGGGCCCTGAGCTTCCAAGCTCTCTCGTTAATTACGACAGTGCAGAAGTGGTACGCTCTACGTCCCGATTTCGCCCTTGGGGCAGCCGGCTTCATCAGGGAGCAGTAGCATGATCTTTCACCGTTCATGTCATTCGGTCGTTGTGTTTGGCTTGTTGCAGGCATGGCTCGAACACCGACATCCTCGTAACCGTCCCCGGAGAGGCTCTGAGCGGACTTGGCTTTGAAATTCGAGCGGATATGAAGAAGCTCGGCTTCGATAGTCTTGTTCTTGCGGGGTAAGTGGCCGGTGTCTTTGTGGTTGCTGGTGTGAGTGGGTGTTGTCAATAGGGTTCAGTGACTTTCGTTCATCCCATTGCAGGTGGTTGGTTTAGGTTGGCAGCAAGCGGCATGTTCTGACAAGTGGAGAGAATTGCTCTGCAGAAGTACCTTTTGTTTGCAATATAATTTGAAGTAGAAGTTTAAAATATGATATTTGGATAGTGGTGAAACGAATATACCGAATATTCGAATGTTCGTTCGGTTTGTCACATTCGAACGAATATTTCTCATGGCGAATATTCGCTAACCGGGTATGCAGAGTTTACCGGGCGACTTCAAACTTCCGTAACTTCGCAAATACTTGACCGAACCGCTTCATCGAAAGTTCCATCGGCATTAGAAAACTCTCAGCTGTCGTCTCGAAGCAACCCGGACGCGATCCGAGGTCCTGGAATGGAGTTATGGCGGTCGAACGAAAAATCACGTCTTGAGCTGAGTTTTTTTAGCGTGTAAAATGCACTTCAGCTGGGGACTTTGTGAAAATTGACCTAGAAATGGTGGAGAAATATGTGCCTTCGTTTGTCATGCCTAATAATAGTGACAATATCCAATAAAATGACTGAGAGGAGGGCGTGTGATGTCATCCGTGTTAACGAAAGAATATTCGTTCGTTAAGCCAAAGAATATTCGGCTACTGGGTTTTGATATTCGTTTCACCACTATATTTGGATATTTCGAGTAATTTTAAAAATATCCACTCGTCTGGAGCACACTTTGCTGCCAGTGTATACCTCGCTCAGGCACAGCAAACACAAATTTGTTTGCGGCCTAGTCTGGAATGAGTGGGTGTAGTAACTGGGTGGCATGGAGACCCTGATTCTGCTATTGCAAGATCTATTAAATCTACCTAAACGCGGCATTCCCCCAGCACCACGTGGTCAGTCCAAGATTGAGATTACATTCCAGATGGACGCCAAAAATAAATACGGCTACGAGATCCAGTGCAGGCAGTGCAACCCAAGTGAGTGGGTACAAGGTTCACAGAATAGTGCTGCCTGTCCTAAACATCCGAGAATAGCACAGAATCTACTAGTACTAGTCAGGCCCACCGGAACCGGTCCGGTTGGTCAGGTTATTACCGGACCAACATTTCAGCCGCCAACACATGTTTCCTACTGTGGAGGTCATGACTGTGTACCCGCCATACCATACACAAACTGTATGAACGGCCATGATACTGCCGGACCAATCGAAAGTGGCTTCCGGCGATCCTGCTAGTTACATGGAGAGTACGAAGCCGCTGGCTTGAGTTCAGGGTCGACACTTGACTTACGCTGGGGATTTCTTTGTCTGCTCCTGCTCCTCTGTTGCTGTGTAGGTATAGCAACGACCACATGGGTTACTTTGCCACGGTACAGGAGTATGACGTTGGTGGTTATGAGTCCTTGCTGACCTTCTGGGGATCTGGCACGGCCGAGAAAATCCGTCAGTCCTGCAGCGCGGTGGCATCTGCACTGGCTTCGTGAGCGCGTCAGAGCAACTTCCAAGCTGCCCCACCGCCTGCGACAACATCCCCTGTGAAATGTTACCAGAAACTGCAAGGTGCATGACTGCCGAGAAGGGACACAAATCTCCATTGCTGTGACTCTACGTAACAGCAATAACTTTTTGTTCCCATTCTCTATACAACCACATGTATTAGATGTATAAAGCTCCGCATCTAGGTGCGTCGAGCACTCTCTCTCTCTCTCTCTCTCTCTCTCTCTCTCTCTCTCTCTCTCTCTCTCTCTCTCTCTTTCTTTCTCTCACTCTCTCTCTTTCACTCTCGATCTGCCACAACTCACTCTAATTGTAAAACTGCAAGGTGCATGTATATAAGCAAGAAGGCATACTCATGTACTGTCTCTCCCACACGCCGCCACTCGTGTTCACTCGTTGTCGTGCCAAAAAATTCTATTTGCAGTACGGTGTTGTTCTCGTCTGGTACTTTTGTTAGCAATGTTGTCAAATTTCTAGTAGCTTGTCTTCTTTTTCATCTGGCTGGACCAAAGAGCATGCAATAATTATTATAGTGATGTCACGTTTTTCTCCGTCCATGTTCTGTTAAAAAAAATTATAGAGAAGCGGTGGCTTGTCTTTTAGTTTTTGATTGTTACAGTGTTTTGCACAGATGACTGGTGTTGTCGCCTACCTTTCTGATCTGGCACTAATTGTTCAGGGAAGTTCTTCCTGTCGCCTGGTTGGGCGTGATTTTATGATAAATTAGCGAATTTATCAAATTTCTTTGTAGAGTATTTAAAACGATTTATTCCACTCCTACCTTTTCTGATTTTCTAGCTTCCTCTATTTTTTTTTATTCAATCATTTATTTATTCTAGGTGGAAGAGAGTGTTACCTACTCGTGAGTTGGGCTGGCTGTAGGCTGGCCGGCTTTAGTAGCAGTATGCTGCATCTAATAACGTGGGCAGTATTGCCCCTGCTGATATTATGATGTAACATTGTGCTTTGCCTGTCAACAGCCATATTGCTCTCTGTAGCTACGCAATTCTGTGGCCACATACTATACCGCACGTGGGAAAGTTTCATACATGGACAATTACGGATCATAGTTGTTAGACGAACCCGAAGTGGCTTACGTATGAAAACTTCCCACTTTGTTCTCATTACCCTTTGGAAGCATCCAAAGTTGTCAGGACTCAAATTCCATTTTCAAACGAATTTCACACCCAAAGAAGTGTGATAATATACACGGATCAGAAATGCTACAAAACCGCTGTAGCACGTGTCGATTATTCCGCTTCTGCCTTGGATTTTTGTACAATGTAGTTGTAACTTGCAAGAAAACCATTGTGTGGTAGTGCGCTCTGCCCTTGTTAGGGTATTGAGCAATTTTTGCAGCAAGGACCTCATTTGCATGTACGAGTAAGCTCCATGTCTCTCAAATAATTCCAATGAATGAAGTTGCAATACATTTCACCTTGCTGTGTTCTGGTGTGGGCTGCTCATACTAGTCCTATGCGTGTAAGCGTGCTTGCACACACACACACATACACACCTTTTTGACCTTTTGACGCCCATCGCCGGAGGCGATGATAGCGATGCCACGGCAGAAGCCATAGCAACTTGTGCTGCCATGGGATTGCACCATTCAACAGCTTAAATTGCAGGGCTGAAGAATTGACCGCCACAATTCAGCCTGGTCTACACCACACAGCTATGAAGCACACACACACACGCACGCACGCGCGCGCACACGCACGCGCGCACGCACACACACACACACACACACACCGTGGCACACACACATACACACCGTGGCACACACACCTTGACCGTGACCTTGATCTTGCCCATTGCGTACGCAATGATAGCGAATGTCGGAAAGTTCAAGTGAGAACACGAGCGCAGAACTTGGCATGTCGTTTCTGGTCTCCTGGTCGACGAAATGGGCGTCCACAGACACATAGAAGAGGATCAGGAGCGGGCCGTGGCGCCGGGTGGAGTGCTACTCGCAACTCGTCTCCAGCCGGCACACACACACACGCGCGCGCGCGCGCACATGCACACGCACACGCACACGCACACACACACACACACACACACATACACACACACACATACACACACAGTTCAAGTGGACGCATATGTATGTTCGCAGAAGGAAAATGTTTCAAAATTATAGTCGTTCCATATGTGAGGGAAGCATGTTGTCACACAGTGAGACCTCGTGCACCGTGAGTGTTTGACAAAGCCAATTGCATGAAACCAAGAGTCAAGACGGCAAGAGTACGACTCGTACAGAACAGGGAGTTAGATGCATGATTGAATATTGATTGTACTCTAGTCTTGGTGAAACCATGAAGCCATGGTCCACATGGACAAACTCAGACTGCAAAGCCATACTACAGTACAATCTACATAACCGCTGGTAGCACCTGTTCTTTCGTCTACGGCCATACCACGTTGAAAATACCGGTTCTCGTCCGATCACCGAAGTCAAGCAACGTCGGGCGAGGTTAGTACTTGGATGGGTGACCGCCTGGGAATACCTCGTGCTGTAGACTTTTTTCTTTTTCTTTTTTTTTCTTTTTGCCGCCTTTTCTTTCCATTTCGCATCCACATGTGGTACTTTTGAAAGGTTTGATTATTTTGTTTTCTGGTGGCACTCCTGTTGTGCTCGGTTTCTCTCTCGAAGTGGTCAATTGTTAGTAGAAATGGCAGAGTCGGGTGATATCGGTAATACCACCGATGGAGAAAGCATTGCGCCATGTGGGCAAGTTTATGTCCACGGCCGTCCTCTGAAATACATCGTCAATCATGCAGGTGGAAAAATGTTTCTGCTTCAAGATTTCCGGGATGTGTTCTTTTTGACCGAAACGTGGCTGCGAAAGCGCTTGGAAACTGTTAGAGTGCCTCTCGTTCTAACTGCTAAAGATCAGACGGCTAAACTTCGTGAGGCTGGCTTGGTAGCGTCGAATACGTCGCGAGTGTCTGTCTTCCCCGCATCCTCTCTGGACAAAGTACTGGCTGATGTTACCATTCAACCTTACATGTCCACAGCGCAAGCCTCTCTGGCTGCAAGTTCACAATGCAAAAGTCCGACGACGAGTTTGTCGGACGACGCACTAACTACACTCAAACTGAAGCGCATGCAGTCGCTCTTACGCTCTGACCTGGTCGGCCGTGATGTCAATTGTATTCAAGCTCCAGTGCGCACGTCCGTCTCCAGCGAGACGAAGCAGCCGCAGTTAGCGCCCCTCGCCCGTTCTCCGGAGAGCAACGAGGACGTGATGACACGCACTCGTGTCGTGAAGCGACCGCAGCGCCTGTGTGACTACGACCAGCAGAGCAGCGCGTCAGAGTCAGCCGATCCCGAATGTCCGGCGGCGAAGCGAAAACGTGACTCGTTGAAACAGTACACTGGCAGTGTGTCAGCAATATGTGATGGGAATCCACACGGACTGAGTCCATGCGTATCGCCATCGTTGATGGACTCGTCGCACGCTCCCAACAACAACAATAGTAATAGCCTGGTGGTTAAGTTCCAGCGACAGTACTCCCCGGAACACGAAGCCATGCAGTGGGTTGTGCCGATGACCGGTCCGGAGCGTTTCTCACATCGGCAGCCACTGGCGAGCGCAGGCCTGTATGATGCCCCGAGTGCGGACCATTTCTACGCATCGACGTCACGCAGCGCCACCCAGTCAGTATCGTCCGCATGTGATGGAGGCAGCGCTTTATTAGCACCTCCGCTCATTGGCAGTGGGATAAAGACAACTGCCAAGGGCAAGGTGCGTGGGGCCAGCACCTCCAAGCAGAAATACAGCAAATCCTCATCCTCTAGCTTGCCGACTCAGGCACAGCAAAGCAGCTCGCAAGGACCGGGTGGACATCTTCCGTCCGCTTTCTCTTTGAACTCGGCAATACCGGAGACGCGTCCAAGACTTTTGGTGCGCGATAGTCAGCTTGTGGAAGCCGTGACCTTCTCCTCCTTCCTCGGCAAGGGCAGAGTGCCTCCTGCAGATCATCCTGTGTGGCGCTGGAAAGTTGGCGCTTCCGTCCGCAAGGAACATTACTCACTCCGCTTTACGGCAGCCTGATAACCCGGGAGCTGCGTCCTTCTCTACTGGAAAAATTGACTTGACCTGGTTTCATATTGTTAATTGTTACCAATCGGACCTACTGACTGTTTGTGTCCTCCGCCATTAGCTGGCTGCCGTGCTGATTGACTGTTTAGCAGAAGCTACTTGTTTTTAGGGGTCAGGTGTGCCTGATCACACCATTGCTTTGTTTATTTGTGTTCTAATCAACAGCTATGGCCAGGCACGTTGTCCCTGACCGGGGTACCAGCGGTTGCGGTTTTAGATCTTGCGTCGTTTTGTTTTAAATCTTTTGTTGAATGTTTGCTACGGCAATAGGGATGACTGAATGGCTATGTGCATGCATTTGAAGCTCATTTCGTTCATTGTAGGCTTTTTAAATATTTTTTCTTTCCGTTAGCGATTTGGGCAGGCCGAGGCTTCTGTCGCACAGAGAATTATCTACGCTACATCAAGTGCTGTGTAACACCCTCTGTGTGGATGCTATGCGTCAGGCAGGCCCTTTCCAATCACTGCTGTTGGTTCCGCTTTTTCATAGAAAGGTGGCATTTTGCACACCGGAAGTGCGGGGTACCTGTAGTGCATGTACTCCGATCTGGGGAGTTGCACACTTGTGACTTGGGATCACTTGGGGTTATTTTCTCTTTGTTAAAAAAAAAAAAAAAAAAAAAAAAAAATTTTCTCTTTGTTAAACAATCATGTACAACGATTCAAGAAGTGTACATAACCATTACTCCTGGTAGTAGTAGTAGTAGTAGTAGTAGTGCATACTCCTGACTGTAGTGAGTACACGTATAGTAGGCATGGGATTCATTCAGTGGCATTACCCACACCCCATGACCCTCAGGTTCATACTGACATCATAGTCACTACTGAAGTACTAGTACTAAAAGTAGTGCATGGCTAAAGTAATTAGATACAATGCACAATTATGGACAGACTAGTCAATGCGACTGTGTCCTCGGCCTCCCATGATGATCCATTTGTACACCATGGCATGTACATGGTTTTCTGCTTCACGAATAACGTTATTCGTGAAGCAGAAAACTATAAACTGCAGCCTGTGCAGGGAGTATTTTGACAAGAATGATGAAATCAGCTGATTCTGTGATTGCATCTGATTGACGAAACAGTCGATTTGTTCTTTTTGCCAAATACGGAGCCCATGTCACCATGGTCACACACTGTACGACTGTCTAGTCCGTACAGCGAAAAGACTGTTTACTGGTTTACCGGTCCAGAACGCCTCCCCGGCGCGGCACATGGGTGTTCCACCACAGAAAAACTCAAACAGTTCGATGTCGAGAAATTGTTCTTCTTCACTTCAGTTCAGTTCACATGTTCCGTCGTTCGGTCATGGGTTGCTGAATTGAGCCACGCAGGAATTGGTTGTAGCAGAATCTACCCTGAGCACAAGACTGCTTTGCGTGGTCCACCATGGACCGCCAGAAGCAGAAAGGTGGCGTCGGGAGCTTGCACAACCCCCTGCTGTCGTCAGCTCGCACCAATGCCAAATCCAAATCAGACGCTGCGACTCCGCAGCAAGCCAAGTCCGGAGGCTTGGCAAAACCGCCTTCAACTGCGGGCAAGCTAAGCAACCCGCTGCTAAGCACTTCTCTTACTTCATCTACTCTTCTTTCCTCAAGAACTAGCCCGGGCTCGACCAGGAATACTCTGCTGAGCTCAAGCGGTACTTCAACGCAGCCGCTGTTGAGTTCCCAAATTGCGGCTCGGCCTAAAACAACACAACGCCTTTCGTCGTTGGAAGGGGACAAGCGGTCCACTGCCCTGCTCAGCCTGTCCACGGGCACGAAGCTCAAAGACAAGTCGGGTAATGATTCGACCGACGGAGGTGTCGCCATGGGCCGTCAGCTGTCGCACGCTTCAACTGGCGGAACAGGCACGCCTGCTTTTGGGGTCGCAACACCCATGGACCTTGAATCACCGCAGCCGCAGACAGCAAGCCTTGCCAACCCGCTGCTACATTCGTCCAGGCTTACGTCACACGGCGGTTCACTCTCATCTCGGACACAGTCGTCGCTTTCCCCGGCTGGTTTGGCCGGCCAAATCACCGCCGGTCTTCAGCTGTCAACACCATCGACCGTCACGTCCCGACAGGGTTCACACTCGAGCTCACACACAGGCAGTCACATGTTATCAAGCAGTTTGTCATCCACCGTGTCGAGCACTTCCTCTGCCAAACGGTTACGAGTAGACGCAGCGAAGCATGCCAACAGCAGCAAACAATCCGGCGACGAACACCACCGCTGGGAATCGATGCCGGCTAGCGAGGTCATCGAGCTGCCCGACTACGATTTCCCAGTCGCCGCGGTGTCGACAGAGCGACGCGGCATGAAGCGCAAGTTGTTCACCGTCCGGGAGCAATCGTCGGTGTCCATTGAGTCACCACTGGTGCATGTTGGTCAGCTGAAGGTGAGTTGACCGCTGCCGTGTGCCGATGTTAGCTCAGGGGGGAGTGCTTTGGGCCTTTAGTATTGGTCTTAGCCAGATTGCATGTACATACAGTAAATGCAGAAATTTTCGGTGGTGTTTTATTTTCGGTAACTTCGGTGCCGACAATTTTTACCGATAATAAAACGCACCGAAAATTTCGGTACAACCGATACTGTATACATGTAGTACTAGTACCCCTACCTGAAGAACGGGTTTTACCGAAAATTTCCCTCTACCGAACCGCCGATTTTGGAGAAAACCCAAAATATTACACCACCGAAAATTTCTGCTTTTACAGTACATGTATACAACATACGTATACACAGTGGGAAATTATGTTAATGTACAAAGAGATAGCGTCGGCATTTCTTTGCCAGTTTCCCATCCGCATTGGATTTTACAGTGGTGTGCCATGCCAACCTATGGAGCCACACTCTGGCATGATGTGTGTATGTGTGGGTGGGAGTGGGTGTGTGCGTGGGTGTGAGTACATGTGCACATGTGCTTGTTCTCGTGTGTGCGTGGGGGGGGGGGGGGGAGTGTTAGGGTGTGTGCGTGGGTGGGTATGCATGTGCTTGTGTGTGTGTGTGTGTGTGCGCGCATGCGCGCGTGTATGTGGGGGAGGGGGGGGGGGGGAGACAGGATGCTCACCTGGCACTTAGATACCCCCCGGGTGTATGCTCACGCCTCCGTTTATAAAGACCTCTCTATCCATGGCGATCTAGATTCCTATCTCTTCCAGGATTTCTGAAGACGTTCCCATTATCGCCTCTGTGTGTGTGTGCATAAGTTTGTCTAAATGTGTCTTGGCTGGCTTGTGTGTTGCGTCCTCTGTGTGCTATTCTCATCAGGCTACCTTGATCAACACGGTCGCAGGCTCGCTTATCCGACAGCCCAACTTCAAGAACGAGTCGGACCCCACGCGACACGACCTCGTCGCGATGACCAGCTCGCTGGTCAAGTACGACGCCGAGTTTGTGCTGAAGCTGGCGCTGTACGCGCGCTGCGAGCTGAACATTCGCACCACGGCCAACTTTCTTCTGGCGCTGTCTAGCAACGTGATCCTGTGCCGACCGTATCTGAGGAAGTACTTCTGCAGCTCCATACGCCTGCCATCAGACTGGATCGAAGTAGCCGAGCTGTACATGGTGAGTTCATCTACAAACTAACTTGGTACTGTAAGACCAGTGGTGTTAACGAACATTTAATTCTTACGATTTAACGATTTAAAAAAAAACCCCGTTAACATTTGAAGTCGTTATGTGCAAAACGATATGTACGTACGTGTACAGTCATTTGCCTGTTTTGAGACAGAATTCGTTAGAATTTCACCTCGCTAACCCACCAAAATCCGGAGATCGTTAACTTTAATTGGCGTTAAAATATCTGGTCTTACAGTATGTGAAAAGTGGCTGCAGTACGGCCATTAGCCATTAAAAAAATTAGGTTACCGTATTTTCTGGAGTATAATCCGCACCCAGATTTTGTCACGGAACACAGATATCTACCCTGTATATCACGTTCATTTGACCATCGTAGTAAAAGGCGCACTGACTATTCCAGGGTGAAGTACGAGTGTTTAAATTAAGTGTCGCCGTGTGTGTTACTGTGTGTGTGTTACTGTGTGTGTGTGTTACTGTGTGTGTGTGTTACTGTGTGTGTGTGTTACTGTGTGTGTGTGTGTGTGTGTGTGTGTGTGTGTGTGTGTGTGTGTGCTACACTGTGTGTGTGTGTGTCCTACACTGTGTGTGTGTGCTTGTGTATGTGTGTGTCCCTGTCTGTGTTTGTTACTGTGTGTGTGTGTGTTATCTTATACACCGCAGTCTTTCCATGATAACTCGCTCAACTACGGCGCTCTGCCTGTTGCTCTGCGCCGTGCCATGGCGGACAAGTTTCCAGACTTTGACGAGTACCAGCTTGGTAAGCAGTGAATATAGTACAAAGCTTTACATGTCCCACAGAGCTGTGTATGTCCCACAGAGCTGTGTGTGTCCCAATGTCTCCAGCTGTGTACAGTCAGTATTGCCTGTAAGGTTGGCGGCTATAGTAATATACCGGCTATAGTAATATACCGGCAAGAGTAGATAAACAAGAGTGTGCAACTCCGGATCTCTCCTGCACAATCTGCAGATACCCCCGCCCACAGAGGAATGTTTTGTTGATGTCACCTTTTTTCAGAGAAACGCGCATTTTGCCGCAGAGCAGTGTGTGAGCACGTGCTGGGCACCGACCTTGTAGTGTAAAGCCGGGCCAAGTGCACAAGGTAAAACTTTCCGAAAGACTTGCAGCGCGTGCGTCGTCGAAAAGATTACGTCAACAATATATTCCGCCGTGGGCCTACCCATCCGCGAGTTGCACACTCTTGTTTATCTACTCTTCATACCGGCTATAGTGATCGATTTATCAAATTTATTTTCATTTGCCATAACTAAGTATACACAGTTATCGCGTATAGTAATAATCGTCTATAGTAGTATATCGCCTATAGTGATCAAATTCTATTTCGCAAGACCTTTATTACATTCTTTTTGCATCGGTTTTAGTGATTGATGTAAAATCAAGTGGTGTCAGAGGAGAACAGGGTGGTTACTTCTTCGTGAAGAACTAGCTTGTCCAGTGTTGTTTGGTGAGTTCTGCTTGTACAAGTTGCCAAATATGCCTCCATGATCGTGAGGAAATCATGCGGCTGATGTTGTGTCTCAGGAGCTGTAGCCAGCTACATGTATGCAGTGCGTATGTGCACGGCGTGCAGAGTCGTTTGACACCCCACTCGCATACATTGCATGCAGTATCGGTCATAGCAATAATATTACTGTTGAACTGGTAATTTTAGCGACGTAAAAACCCTAGCGAATTTAACGATCGACTCATTTTCGGGAAAGTTTCTAGTCGCTAATCCGTTGAGACATTAGTAGTGCACTGGTGATCCGTGAGTACAATGCAGTACTCCATCATAGTACATGTAGTAGTTGTACTACCGGTAGCACCACAGTCTACGCAGTATCAAAATGTGTACAACACGTATTTGTACTATTTTGTAGGCTTGAGAATCGGGAGTGTTGTACCTTTTCATCACATTTTGCTTATCCTTTGCAGGTGATGAGTTGATTGTGTACTGTGCATGGTAGTGAGTGCAAGCATGTCTGTGTGTGTGTGTGTGTGTGTGTGTGTGTGTGTGTGTGTGTGTGTATGTGTGTGTGTGCGTTTTGCGCACGCTCGTGTGGGTGCGCGCGTGCCTGTGCCGGTGTCGGTGCGTGTGTGTGTGTGTCTTTTTTGCTATGCAGCCAAGTACAACAAGGACAAGTCCAAGAACAAACGGAAGAAGGTCAAGAAGACCAAGAAGGGCGGGCAGGATGAAGACGGGGGCCGTCGTGGTCGGGGTCGTGGTGCCCGAGGCGGACGAGGGCGAGGGAGAGGACGAGGACGAGGGTATATGGTTCGTAGCCAGTACTTTGGAAGGCCCAGCGAAAGCAGTGATGGTGACAGTAGCGACGGTAGCGGCAGCGACAATTCGTCCGGCAGCGAGTCCGAGTTTGATGAAGACGTTCTGGTCCCAGAGACGCCGGTACGTTTATCAAGAAGTCAGCTTTGTGAGGATGGTAGCTCTGGGAACACTGCTCAGTACATTGTACTGTGCTGTTCAATGTAATCCGATCACGCGAGTCACGTTTGCGTAGCCATGAACCACTTCACATCCCAGTGTTTGCAGGTCTAGGGCTGCACAGCACCCGGCGTGGCATTGACTCGCTTGATCGGATTTCATTGAGCAGTGCTCTATTTGAGTTTGCATGGAATGACAGAAACTACAGCAAGACCTGTCAAGGCGACCACTCGGATAAGGCGATCACCTGTCCCAGAAGACCACTGCAGCCAGGACCAAGGGATGCTATTTCCAGTCAAACGACACTGAATAAGGAGACCACATTTTAAAGGTCCCTTGAGCGGTCGTCTTAGACAGGTTTCACTGTCGTTGAAAATTGAACAGGCCTCGTGGATGGGCATCTCCCGTGTGTTGCCACTTGAATAGAAGAACCGAATTAGAAGTGAGGATGTGCTGACTCACTCCCGTAGGTGCACTGTTGTTCTGTTTGCTCACTCGCGTGCGCGCGCGCGCGCGTATCAAAATTCTCTTTGATCTTAGCATGCTCGCCGGGATGGTTCCTAGTGTGACATCATTCGCACTGTGTATTCCAGGGACGTAGGAAGGTATTTTAGTGTGGTACAGTCAGCCATCTCGAGGACAATTTACTCGTGGGGGAGGAATTGCTGAGCCGAACGATTTGGAATTTTTAGAGCCCAGATCAGTGTATTTTATTGACTCACGGCGGTGACTTGGGTTCTTGGGCAAAAAGTGGTATGATTAGTACCGTAGTGACCGTAGCGTGTCCGTCGCCCCTGTGTTGCGCCTGTCTCAGCTCTGGGTATTTGCTGGTTTCCGTGCAGTTGGAAGAGCGGCGCCTGGAGGCCAAGCAGCTGGTCGCGCAGACGTTCACGCTGAAGCAGCTGATCCGCAAGATCCACATCACCAAGCCGGTCAACTTCGTCATGGCGCTGCTCGGTAAAAAGTGAGTAGTTTGCCGTCACCATGGTCACCAGCTGGCCCTCTGAACGCCGTCCCCTTTCCGAGTCCTCTGATTCTGACTTTCTAGCGCACTCACTCATTTGCTGAAATTTCTGAAAGCCTAGCTCAGCTAAGAGGAAGAAAGATTCAATGTCCACGACAGTACTCTTATTGGCGATGGTGCCATCGTGAGAACGCTGTCCCCTTTCCAAGTCCTCTGATTCTGACTTTCTGGCACACTGACTCGTTTGCTGAAATTTCTGAAAGCCTAGCTCAGCTAAGAGCAAGAAAGAAAAGTGAAAAAGCTCCCGCATGTACGTGAACTACAACAGTGCATGTAGAAAAAGCAGCAAGGGCGCCGGCCCCGGTCATCCCATGGAAATTTCAATGTCCACGACAGTACATGTACATATACACACTGCTGGGTTCTCTAAGCGTCTCCATGATTGTGTTCTCTTGCGTGTCCCTGGTGCAGGTATCCCAACGATCTGGACAGCTTCTACCGGACTCGGCTGGACGGTACTTGGGACCCGGTACGTTAGTAACGTTACGCATATGACTTTGTTCTCTCTGATACCTAAAGGTGACACGTATGAATGCTGGTGTTATTGTTACAAGGTCTGTAGGAGGGCTAGGGCTCTGGTCCAATCAGGCTTATATTCCGCTGACGTGTTGTTGTGTACATATATGTATGGCACTAAGCTGCACCCCAAAAATCGTCTATGGTGCCATCAACAGCAAGCCCCCCCCCCCCCCCCCCCTGCCATGCTCCACTGTTGTTCTATGTAACGTAATGTTTGTCAACACTAAAGCCTGGCGTGCTTGTCGATGATCCATCTGGACAACAAGGCTTGTATTGAAAAATAGGCTTTTAAGGAGAGAACCGTGTACAAAAGACAGCGCAGTACATGCATTGCGATGCACAACAAACAGTAGGCACCAGTGAGTCATTTTCTTATCATGTTTTCCACGTCGTTTGCAGGACATGGCCGGGAAGCGCATGAAGCTCAAGACACCCGAGACGTGGGAAACACAGGTGTCCAGTCGCGGCAACAAGGCGGCTGTTTGGGAGGATTTGATCGGTGAGTCATGCACTGTGCTCTGTCATTGCTCTTGAGAAGATTTGTTGAACAGAATTCAAGATGGTCAAGGGATCGTTATTGTTTGTTTGTGCGTAGCTTTGGCCGTAGACGGCATGCTTTCTGTGATGAGCTTTGAAAGTGTGCATGTGCGTGTGTGTGTGTGTGTGTGTGTGTGTGTGTGTGTGTGTGTGTGTGTGTGTGTGTGTGTGTGTATGGGCGGTTCAATAGCCGATTGAGTCATCTTTCCGAGATTCCTTTTGAATCTCTCTCCCGTCTTTGGAGGGAGACCCGTGTGACTAGTCATGGCATTGAGCAAGTACAAGCGGTGTATGTATATATGTGTGTGTTCTGGTAACGTTTGCGTGCATTGTTGCTTTCAGCACATAACAAGCTGCCGTTCATGGCCATGCTGCGCAACATCCGCAACATGATCCTGAGTGGCATGGACCCCAAGAGCCACGATTGGGTCATCAAGAAGCTGTCCAATCGAGTAAGTAAATCTTATAAGGCCCAAACAAAAAATGACCTTGTTTCCGAATTCTGAAACTTTTTTTGGTCCCAAATGTATACAAACGGTGGCAATGCCATGTATGCAAGTGCACTCAACGAGTCATAACTCAGTCAAATCTCAACCGAATTCCACAATCGAAACACCTACAAGGTAGCAGAGATTCCCAGCTGTCGGCTCGAAACCCGCCGGGGTCGATACGAGCTAGAATAACGGAGCTGGAAGGACTCGAACTGTTTGCTTGATTTCTGAGGATGTACGAAAACAGGAATACACCACAGGCTGTACAAGAAGGCAGTGAGTCAGTCAACTCTGACATTGATCCTTGCCATGATATATGTACAATGTACATGTGTAGGTGCTCTTGTCCATCAATACCACAACGATTGAGGAACCAAAAAAAGTGTCCAAAAAAAGTTTCATTCCGGGCGACCAAGTCTCCTTTTTGAGGGGTTGCCGACCGGAAACAAGCCTATTTTTTGTTTTGGCCTAATCAAGAGTCCATAACCCCAAGAGTATGTAACTGGGGTCTGGCTGCTGTAGGCCCACTGCGCGGCGGAATTCCAACATTACGTCATGCTGCTGAGGCACAGCTGTACAAAACTCCGCATTCCGCGGTGCTTGGAACCAGTGAGTAGTACACGCGCAACGAACATGTACAGTCAAATCTGTCGTTAGCGACCTCTGCTGTAGGCGACCATCTACCGTTAGCGACCGATTTTCCGTGCACCGACGGTTTCACATACAAACTGATCTGTCCAGAGCGACCATCTGCTGTGCGCGACCAGCGACCGCGATTTCATGCACGGTGGCTGCATTCAAATCTGCTGTAAGCGACCGCGACCCAGGTTCAGTAAGGTGCGAAACTGTACTTGCCAGTGCGCTGTCAACTGCAAAGTGTGAAAATGCGCTGTCTTGCAAGTGTGATCGACTGGCGCCTGGCCTGTACTGAGGCTGTGCTGTAGCTCTCAAGTCCAGGCAGTGTCGATCTACTGCCGTGTCGCATACGCGTACTATACGGGTATGGTCGTCGTTGAATATCCAATACTAGTAAAATGATATTAAAAATCACATTTATCCTCGTCGATTTGAGTACATGGAAGCATATACCTGGTATGCCGGATTTACCATACATCTGCCGTAAGAGACCATCTGCCGTAAGCGACCGCTTTTTCTTGCACCAAGGGGCGGTCGCTTACGACAGATTTGACTGTACATCATTTTTGACGTAATGTTGGAATTCCGCCGCGTGGATCCCCATGTACAGAGTTGCACACTCTTGGGGTTATAGCGGTGTGTAATATTTTTCTTCACCCCTCATCTTTTTGTGAGGTGTTCTTTGGAAATGTATCTACTGACACGTGACGGTTTGTAATGAGCCGACCCCCGCGTTCCTTGTCACCCTGTTTGTTTCAGAACGCTGTTGCCAACAGCCGGCAGTTCCCGTTCCGATTCCTCTCGGCGTACGAAATCCTCGACGCTTGTCTGGCAGAAGCAGGTAAGATAGAGAGATTACTAGTAGAGTGTATTGCAGACCATGCGTGAGGGTCCCTGGTTCGACAGTCATAGTTTGGGAGCCGAAGTCTTTCACCACTTTGGTGGGTCTGATCTCCTCACCTCCCACCATGTTAGGAGCTGCACCTGTGCCTTGATCCTTGAGGGTGGTGGCGTTCCTACGGATGCAGAAAACTCGATGCGAACCGTGATTTTTTGTTGGGAGCCGAGAATGTTTGGAGACACTGCAGTTCTGCGCAAATACCGTTCTGTGAGAAGAAATGGGATTTGTAAGTTTTGTGAGTTTTGTCTGTGCGTGTGTTGAAGTCTCTCTGTTACATGTGTATGCACTCATGTGGACTATAAACCAGTACTTCCAGGGACAATGTTTTCCCACTGATGCATGCGCGCTTGCTAAGGGGCCGTCCATATTAAGTATCGATCTTTTACCGAAGAGAAAAAGTTTCGTTTATGGGTGGGTGGGTCAAGGGGAGTTTCGTTTTGAAAAATATTGACATGTGAGACATCAAGGCATTCTTGCTGTCAAGTCATCTATTTTTCGTTCAGTGGGGTGGGTGGGGGAGGGTCCTAACTAAAATTTTCGTTTCGTGAAAATTATCGATAATGTCGGATAGCCCCTAACCGCAAGCAGCTAAAATTGCCTGTGCTTGTAAGCCTCAGTTTTTGTGTGTCTGTGCGCCATGTTTCCTTGACAGATAAGCCCGTACCGGTTCCCAACGTGAAGCCGGGAACGAAGCAGTCCAAGAGCCAGCAGAAGCGAGCTATGGCCAAGTGAGTGAGAGCGTTCTTGTACTTGGGCACTTGAGTAGTAAATCACCGGTACTTGGACTATGCATTCGGCTTGCCGGCATGGATCATGGATCATGGATCGGCACGATCCATAGAGGGTGGTGGCGTTCCCACGGATGCGGAAGACCTCCAGCCGAGTCTCGCGCGAACCGTGAATTTTTTTGTTTTATATTGTTTTTTCCCCGGCATGCAGGCTCACAACGCGGCCAATCATTCCGATGGGCGTGATGGAGCCGCTGGTGTCTCGCTATCGCAAGGCTCTGGACGAGGCCGTTCGCCTGGCCACCAAGCACAACGTGGCGCCGATCCGCGGCCGCACTCTCGTCCTGGTGAACGGCCTCATGCAGGGGACGTGCACTTCGGCCAAGGGCCTTGGCAAGCCGAGAGAGGTGAGCCTCGGTACTTTGACATTAACACTGTTCTACTGGTATACCATCAGCTTTATACTCCATGCACACAACCCGTCACTACTCACCAATGTCCATGCATGTACAGTGCAACCTGTAACTAAAGACCACCGTGACTAGCGAGCAGCCTGGTACTACAGACCACTTTGCCAGGCACGGACGGTCTCACATTCAGATATGCTTGTGCGGTGCAAACCTCTAACTAAGGACCACCTGCCACTAAAGACCGCTTTCTCTGGCCCCCAGGGGTGGTCTTTAGTCACAGGTTTTACTCTACATCTACATGTAAGTGGATAGGCTGCTGTTTTTTTGTGGAGAAATCTCATCAGTCCGTGTACTTCATTGATGTAGGATTTGTCCGTCTATTGTTGTGGTCCGGGGTTACAACCGTCCGAGTGGCACGGATGCAGTGCAACACGCATTGCATTCTTGTGATACCGACATACTGTAGAAGCCATTATTCTAACGAGCCGCAAATATAACGATTCTAATTGTCCGCAAACCAACACAGCCATTTGCACATTTAGGAAACTTCATTTCTCAACTCCAATTTCCAAAAACGGTCTCTTCGCTGCGATTCAATTTTTTTAAATCGCGGTGAAGAGACCGTTTTTGGAGTTTGGAGTTGAGAAGTGAAGTTGCCTAAATAAATGTATAACGATTTCCAAAAATTGACTGGTTTACGTGTACAAAGGTAACGATTCTCACTCATTCTCAACGCTCATCTTGAACGATGCGGTGCTTGTTTTCCTGGTGTTCTTGTGCTTGCGCCAGGTCATTGAAGTCGCGTACCTGCTGGCGCTCATGTGTCACTCGGCGTGTGAGTTTAGCCGCCTGCACGTCTTCGGTTTGTTCGAGTGGAACGCCGCTGGCTCCACGGAGGACATCATCACGGACAATCTGCTCGAGAGCGTTAGCGTGCTCTGTAACAAGTTCTCGTCGCTGGTGAGTGCGGTACCGAGGCTCAGACTAGAACTTGATCGTGGTCCAGGAGAGTTTGGGTGATCTCGGGCGTGTGTGTGTGTGTTGGGGGGGGGGGGGGGTCGGGGTCGTTGGACGGTTCAATCAATCGCCAATTGAGTAATCTTCCAAGATTCCTTTTGAACCTCTCTCTCTCCTTGCCAAGGGGAGGCCCACTTGACCAGTTTTGGCAGTGAGCAAGTACAGTTAGTACTGTGTGGGTGTGTGTTTGTGTTTGTGTGTGTACGTGTGTGTGTACGTGTGTGTGTACGTTTGTGTGTGTGTGCGTTTGTGTGTTCTACAGAACCCGTATGCGGAGGAGGTGATCTTCCCGATCGACATGCTCATGGACTACGTGTACTATGAGAAGCAGGTCAGTGCATTGTGCTGTGCTAGCTACAACAACAACACTGATAAATTATGCTATGCCTTGCTTGCTGGTGTTCACACGCACGCACGCACACTCTCTCTCTCTCTCTCTCTCTCTCTCTCTCTCTCTCTCTCTCTCTCTCTCTCTCTCTCTCTCTCTCTCTCTCTCTCTCTCTCTCTCTCTCTCTCTCTCTCTCTCTCTCTCTCTCTCTCTCTCTCTCTCTCTCTCTCTCTCTCTCTCTCTCTCTCTCTCTCTCTCTCTCTCTCTCTCTCTCTCTCTCTCTCTCTCTCTCTCTCTCTCTCTCTCTCTCTCTCTCTCTCTCTCTCTCTCTCTCTCTCTCTCTCTCTCTCTCTCTCTCTCTCTGGTTGTGTACTGGCTGCCGGTACCAGTGCTCTGTGATTCTTGTACATGTCTAGACCTGTTTCACACCTATCACATGACCATACAGGGTGGCCATGTTGCTTCCAACTCCAGTCAATCCCTGCATGCATGGGTCACACGATGCCCGCCATGTTTGTTCCAACTCCACATAACCCATCTACATGTCTGTACCAAGGGTTGTTTACTGTCACCACACTGCTGCTCGATATAGTCTGGGCTCGTAAATAAGCTAGCACCCTGCACCTGTGCAGTGCCCACTGCTAGTTGACTTACAATGCCCGAATTTCATCGAGCACCACCGTAGTATGGTCATTGCCTCTGTGGTGGAGCACCCTGGGACGACAGTCACGACACATCAACGTCGCATTCCATTGGCATTGGTGCCATATACCCAAGCACCAAAGGATGATGTGTTGCGTGTGCTGTCGGATACGTACAGTCCGTTTGCGAGAGTTTTGCATGTGCTGTGATAGTATACCGGTAACACTATGTTTGCTACCCTTCTGTGATGGTGTCCAAGTGTTGGGCAGAGTCGTAGAGGGTATCAAATTCTCTTGTCGGCGTTCTTGCAACGCAGTTTGCCGCAGTACAGGAGAGAACCCGTGGGAGTGTGTGAGATGGCTGTGTGTTTTTAAAACTAAGTTTGTGCGCTGATGGTTTGTCGTTCACTGTCGCCTTTTCTTGACGTTCACTCAGATCGACAATATCCTTATTCTGTCGGATGGCAATGAGTGTGAGGCAGACATGCAACCGTTCTTGGCACGGTACCGCCAAGTAGTCAATCCCAACTTGCTCTATGTCAATGTCGACCTGAGTGGCTCCAAGCCAGAGTATGTACTGTAGCCGATAGGAAATACCTGCTGTCGTGTGTGCCCGCGCGCGCGCGCGCACGCATGTGTGTGTGTGTACGTGTGTGTGTACGTGCGTATGTGTGTGTGTGTGTTCACGCGTGTGTGTACATGTGTGTGTGCGTACTTGTGTGCTTCATTGTATATACAAGTTTTTAACTTGCGTATTGGGTATTTGTGACGATCCTGCACATGCTACGCGCTATACACATAGCGGTCAGCCATTTGACCTCACCTTTGCAGTGCCTTGGCCGAAACTTCAGATGTTCTGGCCGTTGGAGGTATGTTACTTTCATGTTTTCCCTGCACTGCGTGTGTGTGTGTGTGTTACAGACTGTGTGCATGGAACTAATTTCGTTTGATTGCCATGTCCTGCTCCTCCTTCTCCAGCTTTTCCAGCAACATGTCCAGTCACCCCAACGACATCTTCATCTCCGGCTTCAGTGACCAGGTGTTGCGGTTCATAGCCGATCGCGGTTCCGGTGCACAGCTCACTCACGTCGAGCATATCGATGTGGCGTACAGTCTCAAAGCGGCCAACCAGGCAGCTGTTGTCGCCGCTGTCACGCAGTCTCTGAAAGCAGGTCAGTCGGTGCGGTGTGTCACTGTGTGTGTGTGTGTGTGTTTGGTGTGTATGTGTGTGTGTTTGGTGTGTGTGTGTGTGTGTGTGTGTGTGTGTGCGTGTGTGTGTGTGCGTGTGTGTGTGTGTATGTTTGTGTGTGTGTGTTTGTGTGTGTGTGCGTGCGTGCGTATGTACGTGTGTGGTGGGTGCGGGATGGCAATTGGTTGATTGGGGAAAAAAAACATTTGATGGTTTGGAGCTGATAAGTATACTAGTAGTGCTTTGTCAGCACTGGGTCTTCATTGAAACTCATTGGAACACAATCTATTCCCAGTATCGATTACGAATTGCGATGATGCAGCATGTACTGTTAGTACTATTAGCTGAACGGCAGTGCTGCGTACAGTACAGTACAGTACAGTACAGTACAGTACAGTACAGTACAGTACAGTACAGTACAGTACAGTACAGTACAGTACAGTACAGTACAGTACAGTACAGTACAGTACAGTACAGTACAGTACAGTACAGTAGTTGTGGAGTGTGTAGATGTTGCACTGGTTGGGTGGTTGGGTGGTTGGCTGAAGCTACAACAACTTCACTATATCCATGTTTGTTTGCATTTTTGGTTTCAGACCCTACTGCAAGTGGCGGCGGCAGTGCCAACAAGGCAGAGGGAATGGACACCGGTGAGGAGGAAGACATGGATACCGACGATGCAGCAGCGGCCCAACCGGCTCAGCTGTGGCGCACGGCGCGCGTCTTCCTGTCGTCGACGTTCCGCGACATGCACGGCGAGCGCGACCTGCTGACGCGCTACGTCTTCCCGGAGCTGCGCGCTCGGGCCCGCGGCCGACGCGTCAACGTCTTCGAGGTGGACCTGCGCTGGGGCGTGACGGAGAAGGAGTCTCAGTCCAACAAGTGAGAGAATGGGTAGTTCATGTACAGTAAAACAGGACGTCCACTTCCACAATACGGCCATTGTCAGGGGCACAGATGTTGCTCCGTATCGAAGTATGCTAGTATCATTTATGTAGTAAATGACTCTGGCGCTAGAACGACGATCTATCTTTTAAATATCTGTGGTGCCACCTTCGTGCCATGGCCGGTAGTTTTTGACTTAGCGGTACTGATGAGGCCTAGATGGCCGAAACGACTAGCCGTCTACAGCATTGGGCTGTCTCTCGTACATGTACTTGTGATTTGGGCTGCAGATGACGGTAGAAATTGGCATGTGGAGCGGGCTTGGCTCTCTCCTAATATATTATGCTAGTGGTTTCTGCAACACGTCTGCACACCAGTTTCTCTGAAGATTTATGCGACTGTGTGTGTGAATCCTGGTTTCCTGTCTGTGCAGATCGTTGGATGTATGCCTGACGGAGGTGTCCAAGTGTAACTTCTTTGTCGGCCTGCTTGGCGAACGCTATGGCTGGTGTCCCGGTACCTATCACCCGCCGCCCGGAGCGGAGTTTGACTGGGTAGGTACAGTCAGACCTCGTTTATCCGGATCCCTCGCCATCCGGAAGAAAATCGCTGGTTACCGATGTGCAGCATATGTTATGCATACAACATAACCGGACCTAGCGATCCGCATACCGGTGCAAGATTTTGTGTACAAACTGGTTAAAATGTGTACTTCGTCGTATCCGGTTGCATGTGGCTGGCTAGCGCTTGGAGAAGCTAGTGTCAGGGAGTTGTACAAGCAAATGAGGTCCTTGACCTGCTGGGTGTATGCGGACAGCACTCAGTTGCATGCACTTGTCATTTTTCTCGCTTGTTTTACATACTGGGCACGCTAGTTGTACTGCATAGGACCTGTCTACATGTATGTACGATGTCACTGCTTTTGACATGCCACATGCATATACAGTGTGTTCAGTTATCCGGTTACCTCGCCTATCCGGATGTTTTTGTGGAAAACAGATGTGTGCGGTTAAGCGAGGTCTGACTGTAACGTATTTTCTGCCGTATACTGTTAACACTCGTATTTCACCCAAAAAAAGTCGGTGCGGCTTTTACTACGAATTACGATGGTCAAATGAACCGTGATATACAGCGTAGATGTCTGTATCCGTTACAAAACAGCTGGGTGCGGATTATACTCCAGTGCGGCAAGTTAGGAGGGAGATTGCTATCTGCGCGAGCTAGAGTATAATTGGGTCTTTTTTTGTGGCTAGGAGTGATTACATGCATTGTCAAAGCGGAAATGCAGGAGATGATAATAGACATTTACCGTTTACGCTAAATCCATCAGTGCTCGTGCCCAGCACCAAAACACCGGCAGTTTGATATCATTTCGACGATAGAACGCTCTGTTTACCGAGAGAACGAAACAGTAAGATTCCAACTAGGGTGACGTCGCAAGCCGATCGTTGTGTCAGAAACGGAAATGCTTATCATATAAATGGTACAAGTCGACCTTCGAAAGTAGGGCGAGCGGTAATAATAGGGCTAATCATGTCTATGCCTGTATTAGTACAGTCTATAATCCGGCACCATTTGTGCCACGGAAATCTGCTGGATTTGGGAGTTTGCTGGATTAACAAATCGGATTTACTGCTGCAATATGCATGAAAAGGACATTTTGGCTACTGGAAATTGTGCTGGTTTATCGAGGGTGCTGGTGTATAAAGTGCTGGATTAAGGAGGGACGCCTGTACATGTACTTTGAAGCAGAAACAAACCTTTTTTTTCTGATGATATTGTCCCTTTGTATCTTCTTCTTCTGGATTTCTGCCTCAGATTGACGAGTATCCCAGCGGCCGCTCCGTGACCGAACTCGAGATGCAGCACGCAGCCTTGATCGATCCAAGCGGCGCCCAGGGCAAGGCATTCTTTCATATCCGCGACCCAGCACTTGTCAAGTAAGATTACGCACACCCGTCCCCGTTGTCCTTTTTAAACGGTTTGGCTCTGTTTTGGCCCGAATACAGCCACTCTGGCGTTGTCTGGGTGTTTCTAAAGAAACATTGATCCCCCTTCCTGTCTCTACAACACCCTGGCGTTGTCTGGGTGTTTCTAAAGAAACATTGATCCCCCTTCCTGTCTCTACAAAAGGTTTGGAGTGACACGATGGCCTTGTATATTCATATTTATTGCTAATAGAAAGCCAGTGCTGCCCTCAAGTGTGGCGTGTGCGGCTGTCTACTGGGTCCCAGAGCCAATTGAATATATGGCAGTTTTTTTCACTACTTGTCCTCGTTTACCTTCCGTGACTCTCTCTCTCTCTCTCTCTCTCTCTCTCTCTCTTTCTCTCTCTCTCTCTTTCTCTCTCTCTCTCTCTCTCTCTCTCTCTCTCTCTCTCTCTCTCTCTCTCTCTCCCTCTCTCTCTCGACAGCTAAGCCGACATATCATTCCTCTCTCAAATGAGTAAAATATTTTTTCTTGTGTAAAACAAAAAGCAAAAAATCTACTGTGCAGTGTGTGGGTGGCCTATTATGTCATGTAAATGATCTTGGTGCTTGATTAATGATGTTTGCATCTGTTGCTTATCATTGCTCTTACCACCAGGGATATACCTTGGGGTGTGCGCAATGACTTTGCCTCTGAGTCGGAGAATGCCTGGGTGAGGATGACTGATCTGAAGAGCCGCGTTCGCCGCAGTGGCCTGGAAGTTGCAGAGTGAGTGCTTCCACTGTGATGTTGTTGTTGTCGCTCTATTTTATTTTGTAAATGCCCCTTTGTTTCAACTCAAGTGGTATGTTTGGTGTATTGTTGGGTGTTCCCGCATGTGCTCAGTAGTTTGGTTTTCCTGCAAGATCTCCGGCAGTTGATGATGTACTGTAAGACATGTATATATAACGAGGAAGCAAATCTAACGTTTTAACGGATGACATTTCTTCGTTATAAAGATCCGTTGAGGCCGTACTGCTTCATATATGCTGTGTGTGGATATGGCAGAATACTGCAAGATCGTTAACATATCTTCTCGTTAACCTATGAATTTTGGACAATCGTTAAATTTGCGACTCGTTATAATAACATGTCTTACAGTAGTTCGGCTGAGCTAGATTTGGGCTTGTATTCACGTGTACGGTAAAAACTTGCCCTAACCGGACGCTTGGTGCAGCGGAATCCGTCCTGATATGACAGGATTCCGCTTGATCCAGGGCTGCAAGTTCAATCCACGGCACGCCGGTACAGTCAACTTCGCTTATAACGACACTCGGCGGGGCATCAGAAAAGTGTTGTTATTCACAAAGTGTCGTTATACCCGAAGTCTCGTATGTATTACAGTTGGATGGGACTTTGCTCTGGCATGGAAATCCTGTCGTTATTCGCGAGTTGTCGTTATATCCGCAGTCGTTATTAGCGAAGTTGACCGTACATCACGATTTGTCCGGTCGATGCAGGATTCCGCATGGCACAGAGTCCGGTAAACACAGGTTATCCTGTATGTGCATGTAATACATAGTTTGTGTGTTATCTTTCAATGTTCAGGTATTCCTGTCGCTGGGGCGGTGTGGCCGATGGCAAGCCGATGGTGGTCGGCCTGGAGGCCTTCGGTCAGCGCGTGCTGGAACAGCTGTGGAATGCTATCAAGCGCACATTCCCCGAAGAGGTACAGCTCTTGTGTGGATTGACCGGCGTCTGCGCTAGGATGTTTCTCTACAATGCTCTGGGACTCTCCGTTCTAGCCTTCCTCCAATGTTATCACTTTTGCTGTTGCCGTATGTATCTTTTAAAGGAGTATACAATCAACCTCCGAGTATACAGTCAAACCCGTGAATAGCAACCCTCGACGGAGCATAATAAATTGTTGTCGTGAGTGTGCAGTGGTTACTAGGTCTGAAGATAGTGTTGTTGTTATTCGCAAGTTGCTGTTATAGTCGAGATTGCTAGTCACAAGGTTGTCTGTATGTGTAGTCATTCATTTCATTCAGGGCTTGAAGTTGAACCTTCCCTTACTGAAGCGTCGCATCACGGCAGCATCACAGGTGCTTTCAAAAACCATCAGGATTGGTTATGACTAGGTTGTTTTCTTTTTGGCACGCTCTTGCCGTGTACTATTCCCGCATGCTAATGTTTGGTATGCTGCTGCTCATGCATCTTGCCTCTGCTGCTGCTGTTGCTGTTGCTCATCCCTGTTGCTGTTGCTGCACAGGATGAAGTGGACTGGTTTGCGTCCGAGCGTGTTCTTCACGCTGCGTTTGCCGAGCACCGGCTGATCGCTCACTTGCCGCGCACTAACCTGAACAAGCAGGCCATTGCGGCCGTCAAGAAAGCACAGAGCGGCGGCCTGCTGCTCGTCCAGGGCGATGCCGGTGCGGGCAAGTCTACGCTAGTGGTAAGTCGGAAAGTGATGCACTGTGGTGGTGTGTGCGTGCGTGCGTGCACGCGTGTATGTGTGTGAATGTGTGTGAGGGGGGGGGGGGGGGATCATATGTTTCTTTACATAACCATGGTCATGAAGAATGTTCTCCAGAGTTTATTATTATTATTATTATTATAGAGTTGGATGGTGTTGTGTTAGGTCGCTGACATGATCCATTTGAACCAGCTGAGGTAACGCGGTTCCGCTTGCCACACACAGCATGCACACATACACAAGCTCACGTACATGCACGAGCTCACGTACATGCACACATGCACGCTCGCTCACACACATGCATGCACACTCGCCCCCCCCCCCCCCCCCCCACACACACACACCAACACACCCTAGCATTCCCATGCCTTGCTCTTGACGATCAACCTGTTTTTTTTTGTTTTTTTGTTTTTTTGTGTCTGCTGTTGTCCGTGGCAGTCATCGGTGCTGAGCGAGATCACGAAGACCGTACCGAACATCATCGTGGTTGCACACTACTGCGGCGCCGCCCCTGGCTCTACCTATCTGCCGCACGTTCTCACACGCATCTGCCGTGAGGTGCAGGCACGCTGCAAGCTGTCCGGCGACATTCCTGAGGAGCCACAGTAAGTCATGTGTTGGCATTCAGAGCACTAAGGGTCAGGACGAAGTGCTTCCATGTACATGTGTGTACTCCGGGCTTCTGTGTGCCCGTGTGTGTGCCCGTGTGTGTGTGTGCCCGTGTGTGTGTGCCCGTGTGTGTAGCTTGCTCAATTCAAGAGTCCATTGTTCAGGATCGTGGCATCGAATCATGTCCGATGTTGTGGAGATCAACCTGAGTTGTATGCTTAGATACATGTACGTAATGTGACAAAGTCTGATATTATCTTGGAAATGCTATTGCCACCTGTTGACTGCTGTTGCTACAGAGAGCTGCTGGCTGCGTTTCCAAAGGTGCTGAAGGACGCGACGGCAGCATGCCAGGCCGGTTCTCGCCTGCTGATTGCCATCGATGGCGTGGACGTCATGGACAGTGCGTATCAGGCTCAGTCGCTGCAGTGGTTGCCTGACCCAATGCCCAAGGTAGGGGAAGACTCTCAGTCTCTGCTTCGATGATGTGACATGCGCTACTTTGCAATCGGGCTCGATGTTTTTACGGCACATCATTTTACACAGGGAACTGTGTGAAAATGACGTACCGGTACCTGCAGTTCGCCACCGTTTACAGAGGGCTGATCTCCCCAGACAGGTTATTTGACTTATTTTCAGCACAGCTTTAGTTCACGTTTGTTCTCTGTGTTCGTACATGTGCCAGGGATATGGCTTACCTAGTACTGGTACCCACAATGCCCCACTATTTACGGAGGTCTGGTCTCTCTAGACAGGTTTTTAATAGTTTCAGCACTGCTTTGTTAATGTTTGTTCTCTGTATTTGTACACATGTGACCAGGGTGTCATCTTCATGCTGACCGTTGTCAGGAATGGCAAAGTGGCATCGGCCGTCAGCGGACGTTCTGGTCTGCTCGATACCATTCTAGTGAGTGGCCTCAACATGCCTGAGAAGATGGACGTGGTGCGATCATCGCTGGCACTGCACCGTAAGAAGCTGGACGAGTCGCCGTTCAACAACCAGGTCAGAGCTAGAGCCATCTGTTGGTGTTAGTGTGGCCGAGCTTTGTGCGTCCTGTCATGCATGTACATCCGGAGGGGCATTATATGTGCATCGGGGGGGGGGGGGGGGGGGGGGCAAGCACTGTTTCTGCATGCGTCGTTTATACTTCTTTTAAAGTAGTGCACTTGTGCATGTTTATGTGTGCATGCATGTGTGTGTGTGTGTGTGTTGTGTGTGTGTGTGTGTGTGCGTGCGTGCGTGTGTGTGTGTGTGTGTGTGTGTGTGTGTGCATGTGTTTGGGGTAAAAGTGGTAACTGATCATCTCTGTGTTCTCTGCTGACACACTGCAGATGAAGCTGCTAGTGACCAAGAAGGAGTCCACCAGTCCATTCTACTTGAACCTGGCCTGCGCGGAGCTACGCGTGTTTGGCATCTTTGAGAAGGTATGCAGGCATGTTGCTTGAGAGGAAATAACGCTCTCTTGTTGATGTTGCCTATGTGAAGTGCTGCTTGTACTGGTAGTGTTCCAGTACTACCCATATGCCAGACTTCCACTGCTCACACAGTGTTTAATACCCGAACTGCCACTGCTCACACAGTGCTCAATACCCGGTATTGCGGGCAAGAATTCAAAACTCGATACACGTGCACAGGCACATTCAAGAGGCTGTCTTGAAACATGTGCGAATAGGCGAGTGGCGACAACGCCCGGACTGCCACTGCTCACACAGTGCCTAATACCCGGTGGGCAGAGCCTTCTAACATCTCGTTCCACCTTCTACATGTATGTTGGGTTGTGAGCATCTACTATTTTGCAGTCAAACCTCTTTAGGACGAACAGTAGCGGACTGATTGTATTTATTCGCAAGAACAAGAGTTCTTCTTATCCATATGTTATACCCAGTGAATACTCCGTGATTTATCCAATACAGTTATGGATACTAGTTCTTCTTAAAGGGAAATTTTGTCCTATTAGTGTTCTTCTTAACGATGTTTTACTGTCTTCAATTGTTGTCTTGTCCCCGGTCACAGGTCAACCAGTACATCAAGGACATGCCCAGCAGCATTCCCCAGCTGCTGCAGGGCGTGCTGCAGCGCCTGGAGAGCGACCACGGCGAAACGGCCATGCGTCACATGATGCTTCTTCTGGCCAGCACTCGCGATGGCCTGCTGGAGAGCGAAGTTCAAGACCTGCTCACCATGTGTGCAGTAGTGATTGGCGATGCCCCGATGCAGAAAGTATCCCGCTTTGCCGCCAAGAAGGAGGCCGCTCGTGGCTGTTCAGTGGACAAAGCAGCAGCGTTGGCTGCACAGCTGGTTAAAGAGCCCAGTCGCTTGTTGCCGCCGTCCAGTGTCTCGCACTTGCTGCGCAGCGTTCAGGTGTTGCTTCAGCCGACGGCGCAGGATAGGTGAGTCTGTGTGTGTGTGTGTGTGTGTATGTGTGTGTGTGTGTGTGTGTGTGTGTGTGTGTGTGTGTGTGTGTGTGTGTGTGTGTATGTGTGCGTGTGTGTGTGTGTGCATGTGTAACAGATAGAGAGGAGAGCTCATTGCCCTGTAATTTCGTTTTCTTCTCCTAAATAAAATGAATTTCAGTATTTATAGGCTTCAATTGGCACTCACTCGCATTGCCACATTGCTGTAAAGCTAACATTCGTAGTGCATTCTACTTCAGCACCTGGCAACAAACAACAAGAAATCTACTGATAGTAAATAGCACTCCTGGTACTAGTAGCTGTTTCATTTGCGGCTCATGTTAAAGTTGAGCATACTTCAGTGAAGGCTGATCACCACATCCAAGCACGTAATATGCGTAACATTTCTTCTGCTGCATTGCAGTGATAGCCATCTGAAGCTGGCTCACGATGAGATCCACCGTGCCATATCACAGCGCTACCTGCACGGCGTACCGGCGGACCAGGAGACGTCGGTACATTCGCTAATGGCAGGTAGGTGTAGTACAGTGTGTGTATGTGCTTGCTAGTACTGTACTGTGAAACTTGTGTAGTGTACTAGTTTTAGCAGTAACCAGTACAGTAGGAAAGTCTCTTGTACAGGCAAAATGAATTGCACGTCAGCAAGCAAACTCCTGTATGAATTGTGAACCTGATGAAGGCAATTTGCCGAAACGTTGGAATGATTATTGTGAAATGAGTTGCAGTGTTAATGGAAGAGAGCGTGTGGACTCTACTACTTAACTGTTTATGAAACTGCAGGAAGCCTCCCCACTTTTACTTTGAATGCAGTAAACTATAAAAATCAATTTAAATACTAGTAAATACTAGCAGTGTACTAGTAGTAACGTACATTGTACCTCCAACCAGGAACGTAACAGCCAAGCTACTGTAAATCCGAGGTGAAATGACTGAAAAGAATAATAATGAATAGAATAATCTGCGCACTCATACTTACACACAAGACAAGGTAGGTAGGTATTAAGGTTTCCAAGAACGTTTTCTTGTGACGATCATCAGTTGGAAAACACGTCACAACAGGATAGAAAAAGGAAACATGTTAAATAAATGCAGAGAAGGTGAAACATTTTGGTGAAACATTTAGAATTAAAATAGAAGAAATCACATGAAACATTTAGGAGAGACATTTTGGTGAAACGATGCGAAATATACAATGTACGCTAGCAGGATAATGTGGTGTAGGGGTGAAAAAAGGTGAAGAAAGAAAACATGGACTAAACAAGGACTAAACTGTGCGAATTACGCAAATACACGTACGTGGGCGTGGGTTCGAATCCCACTTCTGACACCATGTAACAACTTGATGAGCCGAGGAATAGATACTCAATGGGAGTGGATAGCATCAAGAGTACATAACCCCAAGAGTGTGCAGCTCCAGCTATGGGGTCTGCGACGGCAGAACTTCACATCACGTGATGAACCCGTGCACTCTAGTGCATGATAGATACTGGGTTGTACGCAGCCCAGCTTTGGGTACAACTCTCTTGTGGTCACTTTGCACTGTTTGCCAGCATAACCTTTTGAACCATGTCACGTGATGTGAAGTTCTGCCGTCGCAGCACAGCATAGAGGTTGTGCAGGCAGTTGCACACTCTTGGGGTTATGTACTCTTGATAGCATGGTATATATAGGGGAGAACATAAGTGATAAGTAACACAATGCAAGTGTAGATGATGTAAGTGTGGGAATAAGGTGTGAATGGAAGTGTGAGTATAAGCGCTAACTCAATGCTGGTGGAATATGTCACAGTGTGAGCGTAGTGACTGATTCCTTCTGAATGCATAGGTCAGGCTGGCTTTCGTGAATGTATGCAGCTTCGTCGTCTTCGTCTTGCTCCGACCATGGGCGGTTTGATATGCCATACCATCTTTGGCGAACGCTTTCAGGTCCTTGGTGTAGCACTTCTTCTCTATCATAAATTCCTTCATGTCAGCACTGACTGATTCCAGCAGCATTTGTTGTACAATGGACGCGAACAGTCCACTCTCGTCCACATGGCTGGTGCCACTGAGGGTCGATGAACTATCAAGCATGGCGAGTTTCGCCCACTTCTCCGTTTCTCTTGTCGTTCGTACCACAAATTGGTAGAAACTCTCACGACTCTTTTACACCATGGCCACCAATGCCTGCCAGGCCTTGTTGGAGGTCTTTCCATGTGCAGTAAGCAGCTCACACTTGGCGTCCGCAAACGTGCTGCATCCGTAACATGCGCTCTTTAGCTTGCTGCATGCAACAGCAACGTGCAATCTGATCAGGTACTGGTCCTCACTAAACTCGTTCTGTGCCGCCACGTCTACTAACAACTCAATGTAGAACTCCACAGCTTGCTTTCCATCAAACTTGGGCACCTTGATGGCTGGCTTCTTTGCCATGGCTCTACTATTCAGGATGCTGCTGTCGTCACTAGAGGGTCTGGACTGCGTGATCTGTACGTCTAACTCCGCATTCCTCTGCCGCATTCCTCTGCCGCAGCTCAGCATTGTCTTTACTCTCTTCTCTTTCCTCAGCTCAAGCGTAGCGCTCTCTCTCTCTCTCTCTCTCTCTCTCTCTCTCTCTCTCTCTCTCTCTCTCTCTCTCTCTCTCTCTCTCTCTCTCTCTCTCTCTCTCTCTCTCTCTCTCTCTCTCTCTCTCTCTCTCTGCATCTGCTCTCTCTCCTCGTGTTTCTGGATCTGCTCCTCTACATTGTTACACAGGCTATCTCCAGTGCAGCCACACGCCTGACCATTCGTGATCGAATTCGCTTCGAACTGATCCATGCATCTCGTATCCTGACGTGGTCGCCAAAAAAATGCAAGGAGAAAAGTCTGGTATGGAGTGGTTTCACATCCATCACATGGCAATACGGGACGGCCATGTTAGTTCCAACTGCACTCAACCCCTGCATCTATGGGTCACGTGATATCGGCCATGTTGGTTCCACTCAATCCACTGTCCACATGGCATGACCACTTTCTACACAAATTTAGTCACATGACCAAGATGTGAAACCGCTCTATATCCAGTGTACTGTAAAAGCAGACATTTTCGGTAACTTCGATGCCGAAAATTTTACTGAAAATAAAACGCACCAAAAAGTTCGGTACTACACTAGTACGCTACCTGGAAAACGGGTTTACCGAAAATAAAAGTTCCCCCCACCGAACCGCCGATTTTGGAGATTACCGAAAATATTACACTACCGAAATTTTCTGCTTTTACAATAGTACAGTACATGTGTACTGTTTCACTTTACAAGTACATTGAAAGTTCAGGGTTGTGTGTGGTGGGTAGTGAACTACTAGTGATGTCCGCTCTCAACAACTACCACTAGTAATTAATACAATGTCACAGTATGCAATGTGAATGTCTGTTCCACTCCTGTCGATTCTCTACTATGCAGGTTACTACTTGTCTCTGGCCGATCCGGGTTTGGACGGCTCATTCTCGGGTCACTCGACAAGAGCGTTAAGTGAGCTGCCGTACCATCTGGTAAGTTTCTGCTGTCTCTCTGGGACGCCTGGTGTAGTTGACAAAGTTCTCGCTCTTGTGTGTGTGTGCGTGCGTGTGTGCGTACGTGCGTGTGTGCGTGGTGTGATTGGGTGTCTATTACTGTGCTGCTTTCTGTATGAGGGTGTGTTCTGGTTCACATGTGTGAGCATGTTGCATTGCCTCGACTGCATCAACACCACATCACTCCTCCTGCTACAGACACATATGGGTACAGTTAGTGTGACTTGCGGCAGCTCGAGAGAGAGAGAGAGAGAGTGCCTGGTGTACCTACATCTAGGTGCAGAGGCATTGTATAGCTGTCTGATTGTTGCTAGTGCATGAAACTCCGAGTAACAGCAACAACACTTTGTTTCCCTTCGCTGTACGTTGACGAATAGGGCTATAGTCTGAGTATAGATATCACGCCGTCCGACATCATCTCCACTGTGTAGCAGCACTATCTCACTGTTGATGCTGTCTGCTTCTGTCTGTTCTAGGCTGCCAGTGACTCCTGGTCGACGCTGGAGTCTACACTCTGCAATCTCAAGTTCCTGCAGGCCAAGGCCGACGCCGGCCTGGCCTTCCAGCTGCTGCAGGACTTCTACCCGAACGGTACGGACAGTGCACCCGTCTCAGTGTGGACTGTGCTTGTGTGTCTTTGCTGAATTGAGAAAGGGAAAGATGGTTCAATAGTTTCTAGTTTAATACTATAGGTTCAGAAAATGGAGGTGCTCAAAATGTTAGGACTGTGCAATAACTACTAGTAAGCACTGCTGTTCCCTTCTGTACATGTGTTTATATGTCCACATGTGTGTGTGTGTGTTTGTGTTTGTGTGTGTGTGTGTGTGTGTATGTGTGTGTGTGTGTGTGTGTATGTGTGTGTGTATGTGTGTGTGTGTGTGTGTGTGTGTGTGTGTGTGTGTGTGTGTGTGTGTGTGTGTGTGTGTGTGTGTGTGTGTGTGTGTGTGTGTGTGTGTGTGTGTGTGTGTGTGTGTGTGTGTGTGTGCTTGTGTTCAGGTCCGCCTGGCGCATCCTCCTCCACACGCCTGCGCACCTTTACTGCCAAGTTCCAGTCTCTAGACAAGGTGAAGGCGTTCCAGTCGTTCCTCTCCCGCAACATGCACATCATCTTGCGGTGAGTCGTGTGCGCTGTAGCATGCCGTCTGCCGTTACGTCCACGCACGTGTGTGTGTGGGGTGTGTGTGTGTGTGTGTGTGTGTGTGTGTGTGTGTGTGTGTGTGTGTGTGTGTGTGTGTGTGTGTGCATGCATGCATGCATGCATGTGTATGTGTTCGTGTGTGTATGTGTACATGGTCGGATGGGATTAGCTTTAGTACCCGTCTGTTCTCATGTACACTGACTAACAGGTTTGTTCGGTTGTCTCATTCTTCTCTTCGCAACTGTTAGCTCTCCTGCGCTGCTTTGGCAGCAGGCAGTTAATGAGCCACATCATTCAACAATCTCCCAGATGGCCACCCAGCAAGGTGTAGCTGCCAACATTGACGTAGTCGTCTGGGCTAACAAGCCTGACGTTATCGACGAGTGTGCAATGACTCTGCCTGAGTTTCCACATGTAAGTCACCGTCTTTGGCGCAGTGTTCGACGGTTCTCGCCATCCCAGGGAGAAAGCTCTCTTGCTGATACTATGCTCTATGCATATGTTTGCTAAGCTTTGCGTGTGTACGTTTGTGCATCTATCCCTCCCTCCCTCTATCAATCCGTCCATATGTCCATCCATCCATCCATCCATCCATCCCTACATCCCTACATCCATCCATCCACCCATCCGTGTCTACAGTCTCGTTTTGCGTCTGTTCTCTCTTGTGGCTGGTGTTGTCTCAACATATCATCTTTTCCTCGCGTTATGTCTGCGCTCCACACCTTACAGGCTGTTTCTTGCCTGGCTATTTCTGCGAATGGCAAGTCGTTTGTCTGTGGTGGCTTGGACTGCTCAGTCAAGATCTTCTCATTGGCTACAGGCAAGGTGAGTTGAAACAGTGCAGTGCTGCAAGATGTCCAACGTTCTGAGTGGCCGTGTGACTTTTGCTCCTTCTGAAGAACATTTAAAATAGTACTTGTACTACAATTGGTGTATACAGGCGCGGGGTCAGTATGATTGTTCATTCTCATGGGGTTTGAGAGATGGATCGGAAGGTGGGATGGGTCCTGGGGGAAAGCCTCCGGATGATGCATTTTTTGTTTCTTCATCCTACTGATATTTGGCTATAATGATGTGGCAACACTGACCGTGTGTGGCTGCTTGTGTTGGTACGCAGGAAGTTCAGTCATTCGTCGGACACGGCACTCCGGTGGTGGCGTGTTGCTTTGTCGGCAGGAACCGTCTGTGCACGGCCTCGCAGGACGGCAACATCAGCCTCTGGGACCTGGACACTGGATTCCGGTAAGCAGTGCTTTGCGTGTGTGTGCGCAGGGTATGCAGTGTATGTAGTATATGTAGTGTATTCAGTCTTTTAGTGTATGCAGTATATGTAGTGTATGTAGTGTTGTAGTGTATGCAGTGTATGCAATGTATGTAGTGTCTTTCGCTTTGGTGATACTTACACTTCTGCTCTGCATGGTATGGAAAGTATGGATGAGTATGGAAAGTATGGACGAGTATGGACAATTGGACATGTATGTACAGTCAACTTCGCTTATAACGACACTCAGCGGGGCATCAGAAAAGTGTCCTTATTCGCGAAGTGTCGTTATACCCGAAGTCTCATCTTATGTATTACAGTTGGATGGGACTTTGCTCTGGGCATGGAAATTCTGTCGTTATTCGCGAATTGTCGTTATATCCGCAGTCGTTATTTATAATAGCGAAGTTGGCTGTGGTGGTTTCCAAACCGTAAAATTGTGTAGAATTTCCCTTAGTTTTTCAAAAGGTCTTGAAAGCGTAGTCTTGGTATGGAACCTCCCTGATTTTCTTGTGGGGTTATGGCTTGGTGAGGCTCTTGGTCCCGCTTGTCTGATGTCTTGGTGTGTTCATCATGCCCTTACTCTGGGCAGCGCTTTAGCAGCTGCATCTGTGCCTTGATCCTTGAGGGTGGTGGCGTTCCTACGGATGCGGAAAACTCTCCCTCTTAGTCTAGCCGAGTCTCACGCGAACCATGATTATTTTTTCTTCTTTGTTTTTGTGCAGTGTGTCAGTCATGAAGGAACACAAGCGGCGTGTCGGGGGCCTGGCTGGTGACCCGTCGGGAAAGCTCTTCGTCTCGGTCGGTTGGGACGGCCTGCTGGTCTTGTGGGGCACTGCGGACGGCAACAAGCTCGCTACGGTGCCAGTCGTCGAGTAAGTTGGCTTGTGTTTAGAGTGTGTGTGTCTGTGTGTGCGTGCTTGTATGCATGCGTGCATCTGCAGCGGGGCTCAGCCAGTCAAGCCAGCATGCTTGTCTCTTTGAGTCGCTGTGTTCTGCCGTCGCGACATCCACATCAACATGACATTGTGTAAAAGCCGTGCCGCACACTTGCAGGCAGTGGTGTTGGTTGTCTGTACATTCACTCACTGTAGCTACCCGCCGGAGTCAGCCTTAACATACTGGCTGTCGTATCTTCCACAACGCTCCACTGTGCTCAAGTAGAATGCCTGCCGTGTACTTTGAGTAACATTTTTGTGTCTCCAATGTCATGTTGAAGTTTATTTGTTTGTGGTGATGGTCACTGTCCGTATTGCCTACAGCTGCCCGGTGAATTGTGTGGCGTTCCATCCGGAGGGTCAGTTCGCTACCCTGGGCTGCTGGAATTCCAAGCTGATCTGCTACGACACGCTGAATCGACGCAAAGTGAAGGTAAGCATCAGGGAACCGTCAGGAAACTAGGAAGATAACGGGCAAGTGGAGCACGAGCAGTGCATGGGCAGTATATAGGTTTCCGTCCCTGGCTTCCCGTTTCGCGATCCAGTCGCCCGTGGGGAAGAGACGATGTATGCACTCTCGTATGGAATCACTCGTCCGTGCCGCATTTGGGGTCAGCAGGTGATTGCCAGGGATCGCCAGTTGCAGTTGCAGATCACAGATCATGTGTAGAACTTCCCAATCTGGGATCCATACGAGTGTTTGTCACTGCACAAGTCCTGGATTGCACCATGGTAGATACAGACTAACCATGGCAAGTGGTACACACCCGAGCAGCAGTTGTGCTTGAATCCTAATGTCGCACACACTGTGTCGCCGCCCTGTTTTAGTATTATGTCTGTATTGTTAGTAGCGGCACAAGTAACTTGAGTTGGAGAGTTCTTTCTAGACAAGTGACATACTTCAACGTAATACTAACTGTTACACACACAGAATGAGCAGTTGCGGTTTCGTAACTCTGAGTTTCACGAACTGAATCGATCATCAGACGAAAATTGATAAAATTGATACTGACCCTGCCCTGTACTAACTGTTAGTACTTCTTTGATCAAGATCCAGTGATTTGATTATCCCGTGCACTGATAATTGGTGTTTGTCTCTCCACCCGTTCGCCGTGGTCCGCTGCAGACACTGAAGGGCCACCGCTCGTCCGTCAGAGCCGTGGCGTACTCCACGGACGGCCGGCACTTGGCCTCGGCCGCACTCGACGGCGACGTGATGCTCTGGGAGGTGAAGTCTGGGCGTTCGGTAAGTCAAAAAAACCACAGTGGCACTCTCGTTATGGCTGAGCTACACCACCTACATGTACTGAGAAATATGCCTTCAGTTTTTGATAACAAACTGGGGGAAACTGGGTGATGCACGGGATGAAGAGCTGAAGAGCGCAAGCAAAGAGGACAATGACAATGGTGACGGATCCAGTCCAGTATTAAAATAGGAAAAATCGAATCAAATATTTAGCCCACCACACCACACCTACATCTAGTTCTTAGGTATAGTAAAACCTGCCCTGACCGGGCGCCCTTGGTGCAGTGGAAACTCTCCTGATGTGACAGGATTCCGCTTGGTCCAGGCATGCATGTTCAATCCACAGCACTTTGGTGCATGAAAGTTTGTCCGGTCAATACAGGATACCGCTTGGTACAAGGTCCAGTGAACCCAGGCTTTACTGTACATGTAGCAGATTTTTAAGTTGGCGCTTACTTGATACACAAACGTGTGTGTTTTCCCCGCCACTGACCTGATAGCAGCTCCTCTGTTCACGAGCCTATGGAGAATTACCCGAGTTCTGAGCAATGTGCTGTATTAAAACGAATAGTTTCACTCAGCCTTACTCTCGCTAGTCAAACAGTTTGATCCCTTGGGTTCCACATGTACTGTACTCTTTTTGGTTTTGTCTGCCCCTATATCGGGTGAGTTTGCCCCTATATCGGGTGAGTTTGCCCCTATATCGGGTGAGTTTGCTCATCGCATGTAACACTTTGACAGTGACGGTGTGCTGTTGTGTCTTTGACTTCAGGTTGGTCAGTTCGTTGGCCACAGCCTGCCCATCAATCAACTCTGCTTCACGCCCTCCGGCAAGTGCCTTCTGACTGTGGCGGATGACTGGAAGGTCAAGGTTAGTGTGTGTCCGTGTGTGTGTGTGTGTGTGTACGTGTGTGTGTGTGTGGACGTGTATGTGTGTGTGTGTGTGCATGTGTGCGTGTGTATGTGTGTGTGTGTGCGTGCGTGTGCGTGCGTGTTTGTGCGTACGTGTGCATGCGTACGTGTGCATGCGTGCATGTGTGTGTCAGTTTATGCAGCTGTGTGTTCACAACGTGTGCGACTATCTGCTGCTACTCAAATACCCGCGAGCAAAATAATTTAAAAATCCTTTCTTTCTCGTTTTTCTTGCAGGTTTGGTCTAGTAACCTTGGTCAGCCGTGTGGACGTCAGACCTTCGAGAGTAAGATCAGCACATTGTGCCTGTATGGGAAAGGCAAGGGCGGCGTGCGTCGCACTGTGATTGTCGGTTGCCACGACGGCATGATTGCGGTGTCCGATGGCCAGCGGTGCCTCTCCGACGAGGTGGCGGTCCATGCGGCGCGCGTCACGTGTGTCACACGCTTCCAGCCCGGCAAATACATCCTGTCTGGGTCCGAGGACGGTACCGTGAAGGTGAGTTGGGGCCATGGTGTTACTTTGAATAAGCCCATTGTGCATTTCCAAATATGGATTACATAAGTAATGCATGCGAGTACGCTGGGATCAGCAATGCACTGTTCAACACCCCAGACGACCATGCCCAGGTGGCTGTGTGGGGTGTTCGCAGAACAAATTATGTCATTGTGCAATGGGCTCATTGGGTACTTTCATCAAACTTTTTTTTTTACCATCCTGCAATATGCGTGCGTGCGCTTTTTAACACTGATTTGATCATGAACTTCTGGGTTGTGTGTGTTTGTGTGTGTTTGTGTGTGTTTGTGTGTGTGTGTGTGTGTGTTTGTGCTTATGTGTGTGTGTGTGTGTGTGTGTGTGTGTGTGCGCGCGCGCGCGCGCGTGTGTGTGTGTGTGTGTTTCTGTGCGCATGCGTTCCTGCATGCTTGCCCTTGCATATGTCTGTGTGTATCTATGTACCAATGGACACTGTGTGACTGTGCGATAACGCAGGTGAGCAACGTCCTACCTCAAAGCGCCGGCTCCTTCACGCATCGCCTGGTGGTGCTGTGCAGCCTGCAGAGCCACGACGGACCCGTCTCTGCCGTGGCCGCGTCTCAGCAGTATGTGTTCTCGGCATCACACGACTTCACCGCTCACGTGTGGCTTGTCAGCGACGTCTACGGCATGTGAGTTGCTCTGCCGTGGTGTATCACTTTTGAATGCTATCCCGCTGGTAGCTATAATCTGCTCTTGTGTTACCCAGCGGGTGGACACTAGATAGTGAATTGTCATAGCTGTGAATCAGACTGTGAAATTGCGCTGTGAATCAGACTGTTAAATTGCGCAGTAGCCTCGTCAATTTTGTTACATTTGCACACCACGTGAAATTACATGTACTGTGAAGTGCACTGCACAATTTGCGGACAGCTAATATGAGCTTTCGAAGGGGATATTAACGGGGGATGAATGGAGGGCAGGTCTGCCCTCGCTAGTACGACATCGGGTACAAGACAAACCTCATTAGTAGACAATGATCCGAACTCCCCTGACGCATGAAACGCGTACAATCAATTCCGGATAGAAGATAGTACTTGTTATACTAAAGACAACCTTGCTTTTCTCGTTTTTGTACCGTGAAAAATATAGCTGGTTGAGCATCTAGAGGAACACCTTCTTCCGTGATGTAGACCATGATATAGGAGATGAGTTGTACTGGCCCTAAAATTGTGTGATTCTCTCTTCTCATCTGTGCTCTCAGGAAAAGTCAAAAACCTTCATCTGGTGGTGCTCCAGAGGCACTGCCAGCCAAGCAGGTCCTACGCGATCATGATGCGCCCGTGACATGCTGTTCCGTTTCCGCTGACGGATTAACTTTCGTCACCGGTGGTCGCGATAAGGTAACGCGAGCGAGAGAGTGTGTTTGTATGTGCATGTGAGGTTGGGGTGTATAGAAGTGACGTCAAGAGAAAGACAGAGACGGAGACAGACACACAGACAGACAGGCAGACAGGCAGACAGCCACAGCCACACAAACACACAGAGACACAGACACAGACGCACTTTCGTCACCGGTGGTCGTGATAAGGTAACACGAGCGAGAGAGTGTAATTGTATGTGCATGTGAGGTCGGAGTGTAGAGAAGAAATGAGGTCAAGAGAAAGACGGAGACCGAGACAGACAAACAGACACACAGACAAGGACAGACGGACAGACAGAGACAGAGACAGAGACAGAGACAGAGACAGAGACAGAGACAGAGACAGAGACAGAGACAGAGACAGAGACAGAGACAGAGACAGAGACAGAGACAGAGACAGAGACAGAGACAGAGACAGAGACAGAGACAGAGAGAGAGAGAGAGAGAGAGAGAGAGAGAGAGAGAGAGAGAGAGAGAGAGAGAGAGAGAGAGAGAGAGAGAGAGAGAGAGAGAGAGAGAGAGACAGACAGAGACAGAGACAGAGACAGAGACAGAGACAGAGACAGAGACAGAGACAGAGACAGAGACAGAGACAGAGACAGAGACAGAGACAGAGACAGAGACAGAGACAGAGACAGAGACAGAGACAGAGACAGAGACAGAGACAGAGACAGAGACAGAGACAGAGACAGAGACAGAGACAGAGACAGAGACAAGAGAGAGAGAGAGAGAGAGAGAGAGAGAGAGAGAGAGAGAGAGAGCATTTCTTTCTTTTTTTTAATCCTGCCCTACATGTGTTGCCATCGTTATATGCTATGATTGTAGATTTATAATTGTGTGTGTGCGTGCGTGCACGTGTGTGTGTGTGTGTGTGTGTGTGTGTGTGTGTGTGTGTGTGTGTACGCTCGTACATATGTGTGTGTGTATGCGTGTGTGCGTGCATGTGTGTTTGTCATTCCACACACGATTGCCACATGTCACCCATGGTGTGCATAGAACCTGCATGTGTACAGTGGCAAGCGTTCGCGCGGTGTGTGGATGCTCTCCGACACACTGGAAACTGAGCACGCCGACTGGGTCACTTGCCTGGCCATGGATGACAAAGGAGAGAATGTGGTAAGTACAGTGTGTTTTAGAGGTGATGCGTGTGCTGGCACAGGTCACAGATGTAATACATTAGGGAGGTTTAGTTCCCACGTAACGGAAACGCGTATGTGGGTGATACACGTAAAGTGGATGAAGGGTATCCATGTTGCAATGTTGTGTTTAGTCACACGGAACAAACAAAAGCATGAAGCGAAAGGCCCAAACCTGGTCAAAGACGAAGCTACCCGGGCCTAAGAAGCTCGTCGAATATTTTAATTTCGTGCTTCGGAAACTTCTTCAGCTGAGCACCCTCACAGCTCGCACAATGCGCTCCATTCTGATTTTCACCCACGTTCTGGCGGAACGTGGGTGAGCCTCCATACACGGTATGTCGTGAATCAGAAAACGTCTGTACGTGGGTCACTGAGTATCACGTGGTGCACACACGTAAAGTACCCACGGATTACGTGGGACTAAACCTCCCTAGTATGTACTAGAACCCTTACATCCATATCGGGGTAATTTGCTACCTCTTGCTGGCGCTTTACCTCCACTTTTGTGACGTATGTGGACTATCAGTACTAAACATGTGAACCTTGGTATCTTGTGTACACCTTATTCTGATAGTATCATATGCCTCCAGCTTGCCACCACTAAATCGTGCCGAATATTTCTTCTGTAAAAGTGTCTTCATTAGAGAGGTTCCACATAACGTAATTACGATCTACGGAAAGTCTTACGTAAACTGCATGCGCATCTGTGTCCCGCCATACGGAGTTATCAAATCACGTAGCTGCCCTTGGCAACTCTGAACGCGGCAGTGTACGACCAGATCGACCTGGGGAGAGAGTCATAAATTTGTACCCCAATCCACTTACGGACCAGCTACGTTATCAGAGCCCTATCTACGTACTCTACGTAGACAACTTTCCGTAAGTAGGGTGCAAACTCGCGAATTCATGGGTTTTCCCCGCCCACTAACGTAAAGTTGCTCAACTTTACGTAGTGCGGAACCTCTCTATTGTCTGAAGTGGTTTGAGCAACCTTCAACGGCTTGGACTTCCCTTGTCTCTTGTTCTGCTCCTTGTCCGCTGCAATCATCGGTTGTTTCCATAGTGTAGCGGTTATCACGTTCGCCTAACACGCGAAAGGTCCCCGGTTCGATCCCGGGTGGAAACAGGCTAATTTTTTTCTCTAGCCATATCCATTATTTTGTTCAATTTTGTATTCGACATGGAGACAGAAATTGTGAAAAAAGTAATATGATCCGTGTGTTCATGACACACTACATGAAGGTTGTAACAGGTTCAAGTTTGATTTCCAGAATGAACGTTTACGAGTGACGTTCATCGGTGGAATAGTCGTCGCTAAAGAGTTTCTTTGACTAGCACAGCCGTATATTGGGTTTGGAAGCGGAAATCTAATACCAAAGGCGAACAAAATAGATAGTATGATAGCGCGTTAGATCGAAAGCAAAATGTGTAATGTTAAAAAGATTACGATGTCGAGAGGGTGTAGTCAATATGGCAATATTTCAAATCTAATATGTGCCTGTGCTAGTCGAATATACTCTTTAGTGATGACTATTCCATTGATGAACGTCACTCGAAAACGCTTGTTACGGAAATAAACTTGAAGCCGATACAACTTTGACGTACTGTGCCATGAATACACGGGCCATATTACTTATTTCAATTGTTCAATTTTCTCCGCTTTTTACGAACATTAGGGAGGTTTCACGCAACATGTTTCCACTTCAACATCAACGCCCAAAATCTCACATTCGGGCTCGACAGGTTTCACACTGCATGCAAAAACTGAAACAGACGTGCATGTGGTTCAGCTGAGGCAGGAAGTTAAAAAATCTTTCCGAGAGTTCTTTGTCAGCTCCGTCTCTCTCTCTCTCTCTCTCTCTCTCTCTCTCTCTCTCTCTCTCTCTCTCTCTCTCTCTCTCTCTCTCTCTCTCTCTCTCTCTCTCTCTGTCGATTCGGAAAACGTTCATGGATCGGCAAAATATCCTGCTATGACTCACGATGGCCTTGAACGCGAGTGAAGTGCGACGCACGTTCAAATTCTACGTTCAACGCCAAATTTACCATCCCGCCCAAAAACCGTTGCACAAAACCTCTCTATGTACTAGTATATATGAACTGTGAGGTTGACACACATACACCTTTGCTAAATGAATCCTACAGTAGTGTAAGTGTGCATTGCGTCCAACTGGTGCCCAGACGTATGTGTGTACGTGTGTGTGTGTGTGTGCGTGCGTGTACATGTGTGCGTATGTGTGTGCGCACATGTGTGAGCACGTGTGTGTGTGCGGTTGCGTGCGTGCACATGTGTATGTACGTGTGTGTACGTGTATGTACATGGTCCATGCATCTGTACCTACCTGACTGTATTACACCACAGTTAACAGGTAGTGCAGACTTCACCATGTGTCTGTATGACCTGACCCTGGGCAAATTGCTGAAGAAGTTCACCGGCCACCAGGCAGCCATCAACTGTGTTCAGATGAAGGTGAGAGGGAGCATCATGCATGGCTTGATTTGGTTTGGTATTCACCGTTGTTCAAGGATTCTCCAACGGCAAATGCACTCCTATGTAAGAGAGTCTCCCAAGTATTGTTTAAACTTATACTCACAACTGTGTGTACGGTTTCCGTGTGTTCCGTGCTGTTCGCAAAGAGGCTGCATTGCATGCACAGTGATTCTCCAAAGGCGAATGGACTCCTATCAATCTGTCTAAGGGGTCTCCCGAGTATGTTTTATATGCACAACTGTGTGTTTGTACGATTTCCGTGTGTTCCTTGCTGTTGGCAGAGAGGCTGCATTGCATCGGGTAGCGCCGACAACACCATCAAGCTCTGGTCGCGGCACGGCATGGACCTGACGACACTGCACGGGCACGGTAATCGCATCACCGCACTCCATTTGGATGCTCCCGATGCTGAACCGCAGAAGGGGAGCAGCTGGGCTGACCTGGTGGAGAGCGGTGGTGGTGATGGTGGTGGTGGCGGTAGTGCCGAGGAACAGACGTCGTCGCTCGACGTCACTCAGGTCTCCGTTGTGTCGGCCAGCGATGACAAGACGCTGCGCACGTGGATGCCGTTCTTGGTACGTGCTGCGTGTGTGGGCATGTGTGGGTGTGTGGGTGGGTCTGCTTGTGTACATGCACTTCAAAGTATGTGTGTGTGTTCTAAAGTATTACAGTGGAACTTGCCTAGTATGTACCCTGATAATACATCGACTTGCTTAGTACGGACATTGTCCTGGCATGGGTGTGTTGCTCCATATTCAATTATGCTAGGATACTCTTTTAATACTGTAAATCAACAAATATTTTGCGCATATTTATTTATTTTCAGCCCGGTCATATTTGGCCGGAATTTAGCTTTGCAAGGTTCAGTGTGACCGACTCAGTGTATACCGGCAGCAGTAGTAGAGGCCGGAATTTTAATGTGGCTGAAATGTGTTTTAGCCCTGGGAGGCCGAAATTTGAATGTGTTGTTGTTGTTGTTTCAAATTGTTGTTGTTGTTGTTGTTGTTGTTGTTGTTGTTGTTGTTGTTGTTGTTGTTGTTGTTGTTGTTGTTGTTGTTGTTGTTGTTGTTGTTGTTGTTGTTGTTGTTGTTGTTGTTGTTGTTGTTGTTGTTGTTGTTGTTGTTGTTTGTGTTTGTAGGGTAATGAGCTAGTGTGTTTGACTGGCCACTCTGATCGTGTCGTGTCGGTCACGGCTGACAAGGAGTCTGGTGTGGTGTCGTCCTCGCTTGACCGGACCGTGAAACGCTGGACGCCCAAGGTAAGAATGATGTGCTTGTCAGCATGACACTGCGTTATTTTACACCGACTGTACACAAGCTACGCGCCTGGACCTGGACTTCTAGAGGGGTTGATTGCTCAACATTGGTTTGACTGTACGCTGTGGTTCAGCTGTTGCCTGCTGTGCTGCCGGCTAATGGTTGTCTAGTTGTTGATGTTCTGCTGGTGCTGTTGCTGCTACTCTGTCAGATTCCCGAGGATCTCTCCGACATGGTCAGCAGTGGCGTGGAAGTGCACCCGGACAAGGTTGTCGGTGTCGACATTGCACCCGGTGCAGACTATGCTGTGTCTGCAGACAGGTCAGTAGTGACGGCACAGTACGCACACACTGCTACAATGTAGTGATTCGTGTTTACCATGGTTTACTGTTTAGTAATATGAACAACAGTTGAATGGATACCCATGTTTGGGTGGGTGGGGATTCCCCGCATACTGGTGTCTGTTGCGAGGGGATTTTCCCTTTTTGCGCGGGGGAGATCGGCCGTGTTGGGGAAAGTAATTGCTATTGTGTATTTGCTTTTCTGGTATTCAGTTGTTGTGTTGCATGTTGTCCTGTGCAGGTCTGGCAATCTGTTTGTGTGGAAACTGACTGCTTGTCCTCGCAATCCAGATGTAGCCATGGTGGAAGCAACCATTGTCAACAAGGTACAGTACGAGTATTATGGCTGCCGCCAAGAGTACATATCCCCCCCCCCCCCCCCCAAGAGTGTGCAACTCCAGCTATGGGGTCTGCGGCGGCAGAACTTCACATCACGTGACGAACCAGTACACATCATTTACACCCGGTGCATGATAGATGCAGGATTGTATGCACCCTGCTTTGGGTTCTACTCTCTTGTGGTCACTTTGCACTGTTTGCCAGCGTAAGCTTTTTGAACCATGTCACTCGATGTGAAGTTCTGCCGTCGCAGCACAGCATAGAGGCTGTGCTGGCAGTTGCACTCTCTTGGGGGTTATGTACTCTTGCTACCGCCGATCATGCTCTCCTGATATTTTCATTGATTGGTGTCATTGTCATTGCGGTTACACTCAGCGTCATCCACAGTTCTCGCAAGATTCATTGCCATTCTTGTTGTGTTGTGGTTCTCTTGGTTTTCGCCGCACACGCTTTGTTCCCGCTGCCTATGTAGATATCGACTGGCCAGCGGCTGACGTCTCTGTGTGTTTGTCTGCAAGACGAGTGCTCGGACGGCACGTTCTACTTTGCTACGGGCGCCGTGGCCATGGGTGTGTGCGTGTGGAAGTTCTCTGCCAGTCGGGGTACCTGCCAAATGATGTAAGTGCCCTGGCTCGTTATTCACCCAAATGCTTGTGGGTTTTTTTTTGAAACTCGGATGTGTCAGTTGTGTGCCTAGTTATTGCACTTTCTGACTGTACATAGTATCCAGTTACAGTGATGGAGAGTTACTCTTAACTCGTATCCTTATGTCCTTTTCCTTTCTACATTTTTTTTTACTGTTCACATCCCCAACTCGAAAATAATGATGAAAGACGATGGTACTGACCTGTTTTTGCTATCCTGTCTTGCGTTGTCTCATGCAGCGAGTCAGCCAGCGATACCGGCCGATGCACGGCGGTGGCTGCTCACAACGAACACATCGTCGCGGTGGTGGGGCGCACTGCCTTCCGCGTCCTGTCCTGCACGCTCAATGCCAGCCTATCGTCTGCGTCTCTGTCGACAGTGTTCCAGGAGGATTTGACGACGTACGTTCTTCCCGTGGGCTCTTGATACACAATCAACATTATCCTCAGACAGAGTAACCATGGTAACCACTTGGCAGTATGCATTTAGCCTCGTGAATAACAACACTTTTCTTATGGCCGGTCGAGCCGTCGTTATTCGCAAGGTCGACTGTAGTAGTAGTAATAGTAGTGCATGACGACGACGTACTGCTGCATAGGTTGTCTGTAAGGTCCCGATCATGCTGTACTCTGCTGCCTGTTCTATGTGCAGTGCGCCTGAGGATGAGCTTCCGCTGTCCAATGAGGACTGGATCAAGCAGGTCATTGCCTTGCCCAGCGGCATTCTAGTCACCACTGCCGAAGGCTTGCTGCTGCAGCGAAGTCCCAAAGGCTACGCCAAGAGCAACAAGAAGATCAAGGTGAGCGGACGTGAAGGAAAGGATCACAGCATCCCGGAAAGCTGTTTATACCGGTCCAACTGATCTGTGTTGTGTGGACGTAGTATCGGCTTCCTGATCCCTTCCAGCCCAGTCTGCACTATACAGTGAAACCGTTTAAGTATAGCGTTCTCTGGGGTGTACAGTACTCTGGGGTATAACGTACTATTTTTTGATGAATGGACTCAGATGGAGAGCCAAGGATAAATTTATAGAAAAGAAAAAGGACCAAGGAACCATCGCATGAGCTGATTGTTCAGTAACTGGTGGTGTTAGTGGACATTGTAGCGTAACTTGTAGTTCCTTGGTCCTTTTCTTTTCTATTTGTGATGACCTTGCATCATACAATGCCAGTCACTAGACACTAGAATCTCTAGATACAGTACATTGGTTACAAAGCACTTCAAAGTACAGTCGGCTCCACTTACAACAAACTCGCATATACGAATTTCGTGATATAGCGAACCCCTGTCCATGTCCCTGTTTGAACCCATACAAAATTAACCCTTTATAGCAAACAGTTTTCGTTTATCGCGAACCAACTCTTGTGCGGCCGCATGTAAACCAAGTGCACTCACACTGTTAGGGGGTCACTTGCCGAACTAAATAATTCTCCTGCACAATGGTGTTCGGTATATCAGGAGTCGACTGTACATAATGCATGTTACTATGGCCCCTGGAGCGACGTGATACTGACGCTTCATTGTACCAGTACATGTAATCATGTACACGTATGAAGACCTGCTAGTACTGTGCTGCGTAATGAAATCCGATTGCGGGAGTCCAGTTTGCGCCTGGCACCGTTCCACAGCCTGTGTTCGCAGGTTGTAGGGCTGCACAACGCCCGGCGCGTACTCGAGTGACTCGATCGAACTTCATTGCGCAGCACTGTAGTTGGCTGAACTGAATGTGTGCGCCGGTGTCTGTGAATATCTCCCTCTCTCTCTCTCTCTCTCTCTCTCTCTCTCTCTCTCTCTCTCTCTCTCTCTCTCTCTCTCTCTCTCTCTCTCTCTCTCTCTCTCTCTCTCTCTCTCTCTCTCTCTCTCTCTGCCTTGTGTGCATGCAGTACACCGTGCAGGGACTGAAGAGGACGGCAGCGTCGCTGCAGAACGACGGAGTGATCAAGATTGCCGTCGATGAGCACAATGTGAGGCGTGCAGCACCCGTCGTTATTTTATTCATGAGGTTGGATTTCTTTGGCCAGCGCTGTAGTTGACACTGGCCTGGCTGAACCCTACAGATCTCACTATAAGTAGATTGGCAGATAGTTGTGTGCAAATACTCTTTCCGTATTGCTGTGCTCAAACAAGACTTGATATGGTGTGTTCTCCTTTCCCCCTGTAGGCGCCGGGCGGCGATCTCCTAGTCGGCTTTGGTGATACTGTTCTGTTCTGCGGCAACTCTAGAAAAGAGCCATGGCAGTGGAAGTTCTCCGAGGTATGTTCAGAGTTCAGAGTTCAGTCTGTGTGTGTGTGTGTGTGTGTGTGTGTGTGCGCGCGTGTGTGTGTGTGCATGTGTGTGTGCATGTGTAGGATGCTCATCAGGTGTTTGTGTCATCGTATTCATAGGGGTACACGGGCTCTTCATCTTGTCTATTTCGTGGACTGTGTTCTAAAAAATCCCTCTGTGTTTGTGTACATGTGTGTGTGTGTGTGTGTGTGTGTGTGTGTGTGTGTGTGTGTGTGTGTGTGTGTGTGTGTGTGTGTGTGTGTGTGTGTGTGTGTGTGTGTGTGTGTGTGTGTGTGTGTGTGTGTGTGTGTGTGTGTGTGTGTGTGTGTGTGTGTGTGTGTGTGTGTGTGTGTGTGTGTGTGTGTGTGTGTGTGTGTGTGTGTGTGTGTGTGTGTGTGTGTGTGTGTGTGTGTGTGTGTGTGTGTGTGTGTGTGTGTGTGTGTGTGTGTGTGTGTGGTGACCGTGGGAAATGTGTTGCTGCACGCATGTACGTGTACATTGTGGTGATGTGCATGCGACGGCGTTACTACAGTTGCTGCAGGTCGGTCAGTTCTCCTGCAATGCACCGGTTACGTCACACGTATGCCGACCCACTGTCCACGGCGGTTACCACACCATCATGGCGGCTAACACGCTCGGCCAGGTGTTCTTCCTCTTCACCAAATCTCATCCGGTATAAAGAGAAAGCTGCATGTATACCCAATGGTGTCGAGTCCCCAGATCGATCGAGCCCCCCCCATGATGCCAAGACCCCAGGTCGGTTGAGGGCAACCAACAAGCCTCGCCATCACTACGCTCCCGTTCTGCTTTTTTCCGTCTTTGCCTGTTAGCTGTGATCATAGTAAAAAAATTACAACCTGTGTAGATGCACACTAGACAATGTCACCTACACCATTCTTCCCAGGGCGTGTGTTAGCATGGCTAATCAGCAGGAGTTGTGTTTCTCAGTTGTGTTCCTCAGTTTGCCATCTTGGCTGTTCTCCCCAATGATTTGTTTGTTTTCCATATTTCACCCGTAGCACACGACAGCATGCAGGTGCTGTGTCACAGAGTTGCAGCTGATTCCAGCAGGTTGTCGTGCAGTGTCACAAGAACGCCTGGTTTCAAGCCGCCGCCAGCAGTGCTTTTATTCTCTTTCTCTGCGTGTGAATGATTCACGCTTCCGATTTGCTCTATGCCAGCTCGGCGATTTGTGTTTCTAGCACCCTAGCACCCTAGCAGTAGGCATTGTACAGCAATTCCATACTGCTAGCTGACTCTAGTCCGGTAGTTAGTTCCATCAGGGACTAGCCCTGGTTCATAGAAATAGAATTTTAATGCCACAACAGAATCTTTGTATTTTAGCGGCTTTTCTCTTTTTTCGCGTAGACTATTCTATTTTTTCTATCTTTTCGCTGTAGTTTAGGACAATATCTGCGAAATAGCAAGAGCCGTCTTGCTGGCTGCGTTTACCGTGATGCATACTACCACTAGCGGAAGTGTTGCTACACAGTCGGTCCTCATGATTGTATTTCTCTCGATTGTATTTCTCTCAGGTATTATTTGCTCTAGTATATTTTTCTTATTCCTTACAAAAAATACGCTTCTCCTGAACATTACAACAGTTATCACATGCGAGAAATCAGCTGCCTTCACCAGATGTGTATGAGGGATCTACGGTTGTCCCTAACCATAAATTATGATTATGCAAGCATGAAGTTTTGCGGATGCAAACGTAGACGTGGGCAGATATTATAATGCTCACAAATCACAAAAAATCATGCCTAAATTACGGCAGCTGGGGCTCCAACTGCCCCCCTCAAAAAAAAAGAAAGATGGCTCAGTCATGACCTCACGGACCATCGAAATAATGGATAAAAACTGAAAACTAAAAGCTGTGAACACGGGGATATAGACCGGATAAAATTGCCTACAGATCAACGTTACGCTTGGTGTTTTCGTTGTCTAGCTATGCTAATAGGACAGGACCAGCCTGACAGAACTAGCGCGAACGCACACACACACACACACCAAGCACAATTTCTACATTTAAAAAATAAATCACCCAACACCCAGCAAGGATTGGAGGGGAAACGTAGCATGCCACAGATCAGCTTGCACAAGTGGCCAACAGCCCAATCACAGCGACCATGGTGCCAAACTGCCTGTGGGTGTTCATTAACGTGGAGGGGGGTATCAACAGGCACTGCAAGCCACTACCAACTAACCTGTGCTTCTGGCCTTGAGGCGGATAGGTGAAACCAGTTTTCCAGGTGGCTGCCTTCGCAGTAGAATAAAGAAGTTCTGCAGAACTGCAGAACGGATTGCTTCTCCACGTTCAAGGACCTGTTGTCAACCGTATCTTTACCATCTAAGTGCTCAATGCCAACCCGGCAGTTCTGACGATAACAGCATCCAACCAGCACTATGCCACCGGAAACGCTAACTTCTATCCACAGCAGCTCTAAGTCAGTCTCCAAGTCAGTGCGTCTTCTCGCAAGAACAGATTCATGGCAGTATATCCCAACACCACCACCACGTTGCTGCAATCTATCCTTCCGATGTAGCTTGAAATGTGGAATAGTAAAGCTTCTCTGCAAGTTCAGTCCATGAATCAGTGGCACACGCATGCATCGACCCTTGAGCCGGCGACACACAAGGCATGATGCGACGACAACAGACGAGTGCGAGTGCGAGTAGTTAGTAATGGTCACCAGATCAGCAGTCAATACAGTCCTACTGTGCGATGCCGCCGCATTTACTGCTGGCCACGGCCTTGCGCTCACAGCTAGCTTAGTCAGTGATGGCCAGATCAGCAGTCAATACACTATGTGCCGCCGCATTTATCGTCTACAGCCTTGCACTCACAGTCACAGCTAGCAGTGATGGCCAGATCGGCAGTCGTATACTATGTGCTGCCGCCGCATTTACTGCTGGCCACGGCCTTGCACTCACAGCTAGCTTAGTCTGTGATGGCCAGATCAGCAGTCAATACACTATGTGCCGCCGCATTTATCGTCTACAGCCTTGCACTCACAGTCACAGCTAGCAGTGATGGCCAGATCGGCAGTCGTATACTATGTGCTGCCGCCGCATTTACTGCTGGCCACGGCCTTGCACTCACAGCTAGCTTAGTCTGTGATGGCCACCAGATCAGCAGTCAATACAGTCCTACTGTGCGATGTAACGGTCTGATTCAATACAGTCATACTATGTGCCACCGCACTTGTTGCTATCCACGGTCTTGCACTCGCAGCCAGCTGCTTTGGCCAGGCTGCACAGGGCGGCGGCAGCACAGCGGCGCAAGCACAGCACCGACTTGGCGTCGATCCAACGCTTGCCGACGGGATAGTATGCGGTGCCCGGGTGCGTATTCCAGCCTTTCTCCATGGTGAAGTGGATCAGGCGGATGTCGGCCTCCTTCTCGTTCCACTTATTGCGATCGTCCGTGAACGCTGCCAGGTTTGCGTTGTCCTCGAACTTGAGTGGTGTCCACACTCCCTTGTACACCTCGCTCAGGAAGCCCTGCTCCGACATTATCTCGTTATAGCGCACGCTGCCGCCGCGCATCAGGTCGTACAGGCGCAGGAACTCGGTGGCGTTGGTGCGTATGACGGCCACTCCCATGTTGAAGCCGTCCACCCACCGTCCTCCGGAGATGTCCTGTGCCACGGCCATCGGGTGCTGTGCGTCCACCTTGCTCGCCAGCAGCCTGTCCAGACGGCCCACGGCCAGCGTGTCGCTGTCCAGGTAGACCACGCGCTCAAACTGCACCATGTTCCACATCACCAGCTTGACAAACTGGTCGCGGAAGCGCGCCTGGTTGGACGGGTGCGGCGGCGTGACCTTCGGCGCCACGCACACCTTCCAGCCGACATCGTGCAGGCGCTGTACACACTGTGCTTCGCACGCCGTGCCCTCCAGGATCATGACAATGCGCTGCACGCTGCTCGGCGCATGCTTGCCCAGTGACGTACCGAGCACCTCCAGGCCGAGCACGTACGACTTGTACACGTTCTTGTCCGAGGACGAGAAGAGGCTGACCAGCGCGACCGGCTGCGGGTGCTCTCTCGTCGCCGGCGCAATGCTGTCCTGTGTGAACTTGCATGTGTACTTCTGCAGATCGGCGGTGCGCTGCTTCAGCTCAGCTGGCGGCGGTGGCACCTGTGTGCGCCCACTTCTTGCCACCTGCGGCCGTAGAAACGCCTCCTGGTCCGACTTGGGTATTCTGCGCGAGAAGCTAGAAAAGGCCAACAGCAGCAGGGCTACCACCACTACAAACGCACAGGCACGCTGAGCGGGAGCCGACGAGCCGAAATTCTTGAACGCCGACACGTTCATTGCAGCTGTTTCAGTAGCCGGACTGTTGCTTTTTTTATAGTAAATTTTGCTCCAGCAAGCGGCTAGCTAGCTGTTGTTGCAGCGTGTATGACCTCAAATAAACAGCAGACTTCCTATCCCATTTGGCTCAGCTTTACTCTCCAAGACGTGGGGCAACCTTTCTCCGTTCGGCACAGGAAAGATGTTCGTGCTTTCGACCTTTCCATGAGCGTCCCACCCTGCACCAGAGCGACATACAATGACTATGTAGCTAGCTGTGTAGTAGAAAGAAATCTAAATCCAACTTACTTCTTATCTTTAGTATTGTAACAAGGCGAGGACGCGTAGTGCTCCTGACTACAACCATAACCCGGTTGGCAGAGTCCCGGTCTTGCGACCATCTGAACCGTATTGGGAAAACCCAGGTTCGGACCCTCGTTACTCTACGGGTTGGTAGGATTTTTATAATTTTCGTTTTTTTGTGTTGTAGAAGTCGTCGTGTTGCCGCCGTATACGTGTAGTATTGTTCACGTTGCTGCCGCTGCAGGGATCACGTCTACGTCTGGAAAGGATTTGTGATCAGGGAGTCGTAAAATACGACTCCCACGTTTGTGATGTTATTTTCTTGTCTTCCTCTGTAATTAAATTATTTGTAATTTATATTTCTTTTTTCTTTTGTTCTTTTGTTCTTTTTCTTTTTTCTTGTCTTTTTCCAACTTCTGCCCATGGCCGGCCATGGCGTCCTTCTCTCAGCTCGTCAGCTGTAACAGTCATAAGGGACCTTTCGCACCCCGCGGACGGATACGAAACGAATGCTGATTCGTCACCTGGGTTCGAGGATTCGTCAGAGTCCCTGCGGAGAACTCGTTTTCACGAATGGAGGCCTCTTCATTCGTGGCACGCTCCGAATCCGTCAGGTACACATTTCTTTGGATAGGTACACATGTTTTGCAAGGTACACATTTTTCCCTTGATTCCATGATCCATGCACGTGTGCGTGTAAAATCCCGTACACCAAGCTACCGGAGCCCGCGGCCGTATTCGTAGTTGCCATGCACATTTGCATGACGACTTGCGAAACCTGAAATCTGTTTTCAACGAAACGATTACGAGCCGAATCAAACTTTCGTTTCGCATTCGTTTCGTAGCAAATGCGAAGCGAAGGACTAAAGGGACCGTCACTTAATTTTTGCCGACTACCCGCCAAAAAATCTTTTCGTTTCACGTGTCAGACACGTCCGCGAGCGCGTACGATCGACTCGCGCGCGACCGCGCTACCTTTCACGTCAGGCTATCTGTTCACGCCACATGGCTGGATAGCGCGTACATGCAAACATGATTGAAGACTTGCAAAATCAATTTTTTTCCAAGTCCAGGCGCTATAGGCCTAGGCAGCACTAATCAGTCTAATGCCTAATGCCCAGGCAGCTGACTTAATTTTCGGAGAAACACTACTCATTGTAGTAAAAAGTAACAATGAATAGCGATATCATCTAGGAAGGATCGCTACCCTAACGCGAAGGAAAGGCCTTGCGCGGCTGCTCTACGAAGTGTTGAAGAAAGACTCATCAAAGTTTAATAGTTGGTGGACGAACAACTCGCTGGCGCCGGAAAACTTGGCCCCCAACGATGGTATTTGGTGAATCATCAAGCATAATGTCTTGTAGCAGTGTTCACCGAGGAAGGAGAACGCTCTAGTCGCTGCTGTTGTCCGTTTCATCCACGTTGGGCGTTAGCTGCACCGCGCCTATTGTGTTTTAGTATTCCATGGACACACATTAGCATTCAGAGCGATTGTGGAGCCACACTTTACTTCACACAGCGTTGTATTGTCCACGAGCGCAAACTTCATTATCAGCAGTAACTGTTACTCTTCATCCTACATGTAGACTTGGAGTATACACGGCCTTGTCACGACAGCGACAGCTCTACAGAGTGTTCAAGTGAGAAACATTAATTTCTATTGTTGGTGGACGAATAAATGGCTGGTTCCGAAAAAACGCGGCCTGCACCGACGGTGTTTGGTGGATCATCAAACAGGGTGACCAGCAGTGTTCACCGAGGAAGGAGAATGCACTCGCCACCACTCCGATTCATCCAAGTGGGCGTTAGCTGCGCCGCGCCTATTGTGTTTTAGTATTCCATGGACGCACACTAGCGTTCTCAGCGATTGTGGAGCCACAACATATCTTCATGCGGCGTTGCACTGTCCAAGAGCAGAAACGTCAGCAGTGACCCATCATCATACATGTAGATTTGGAGTATACACACCATGCGCCAATGGGCCTTGGCACAACAGCGGTAGCTCTATGGAGTGTTCAA